ACATTCCCTCAGCCCTCTACTACCCCTCCTCAAATATCTCTGACTTTCCACATCAGCCATCCATTCACCGTTTTCAATGCACGCCCTGTATGTAAATGCAGGGACAGAATTATGCTTAAACCAGGACACTTATGCATCTGAAGTCCACAGGTTGGGCTTTTTTCCCTCAGCAGAGAGCCCCCCCCCTTCTCTTTCATTCTTAAATTGCTTTTCTGTCCTCCTTCCTCTCATTCCCATCCATCCATCATGTCACCAGTCCTGCAATGTCATTCTTTCAGAACATTTTATAAGGTTTCCAAAACTGGAATTCAGTCCTTCCATGATCACTATTCACTGCGATGTAAAGTTCCTAATGTATGAATTCTTGCTTTTCACAAGCACCCCAAAAGCCCCAAATTCACCCAAATCATCCTATTTCATTCAAAATTAAACCAGATTCTTCAGCTGCTTGCAGGCATTCGTCTCTTCACTTACATGATACCCCTTCAGTTCCCGGACATTGCAACCTCCATCTTTTTCTTGGTTTCACAACAACATACTGTAGCTGGGTTTCTTTATTTTGCTCATTAATACACGCTAATTATCATTTCCTCTTACACAGGGAGATACAATCCTCCCTGTGCCAAGGGCATCACCAGATGCTGGCCTCCACTGCTTCTCCCTGTCAAGCGTGGCCTTCCCAGAAGACTTTTTAGTAATAGGCAGAAGGGGCAGGCGAGGCTGTGAGCCTTAGTTACATCCCTGCCACGTGCTGCATTTGGTGCAAATGGTGCGAATGCCAGACCAGCCCATTTTGCCCAGTGTGTTGCTCACCCTTCTCTGCAAGGCCTTCTAGAAACTACCTTGGCACTCAACCGACAGTTGTCGAAATCCCACAGATACGGGCAGGGCCACGGCATATTCAGAATATGACTGCCAAATCTAAAATTCAACAAAGAGAAGATGGAGGGGGTGGAGGAAGAGGAGGGAGGGGCTAGGAAAGGGAAGGACGCCTACTCACAGCAGGATAATAGGGAAGGCAGAGCCAAGCAAATGAAGATTTAAAGAAGACTTCTAGGATAATTGAAGTAGGTCTCCAAGGGTTTTTGACTCTCAAAAACTTAATAATTCCACTTACTTTTTAAAGACATCTATAGATCTTGTAGCACTCGCTTCTCTTTCGGCGTCAGAGTTCTGGCATGCATAAAATATGCAGATCTTTGTCAATATTTTAACATAAATTCAGTGATGGACTCACACATGTTTGAGCAGGCTCAGTTAACTCTTCCTTTTGGTCAGTCCTGGCTAAAAGGGAAGGCTGGTCCGAGAGTCTGCAGCAGGGCGTGGAGCCCAGGCAAGCTGCCAAAAGCCAAAGAATATTTGGACTCTGAGAGGAGCTTCCAGGCCAGAGATGTTCACTGCCTTCCTGGAAGCCAATTAGCTTTGAAGAAGCCCCACGCCGGCAGCATTTAGCAGGGATCTCCCCCTCCCCTCCCCCTCTGTTGGGATTAGGAGAGTCCTCAGCCAGTCAGGACGGATCTTGGACAGATCAGCAGCAGGACAGATCAAAGGTTCTTACAGCCCAGCCATTATTTATTTATTTATGACATTTTAATCAGGGCAGCAGCCAGTTTCCAGCCCAGCGGGGGGGGGGGGGCATGAAAATAGCTGCCCTCCTGGTCTAATCCCCAGCAGGAAGAGAAAATCTTCTGACAGGCGAAGCTCCTTCGCTCCTGGAGGGCTCAGTTCTGAGAGCACAACATTTTTCAGCTGTGCGGCTGCACTTACACAAATACTATTGTCATTATTACTACTTCCAGCCAGAGGAGTGCAGGGAATGCAGCATCAGAGTTGGTACCGGGTGGAAAGTGCTCCACACAGGCATTGCACATTAAATGTTCAAGCTTAACTGAACAGGAAAAAAGGCAGAGGTGGTGCTATTAAAATTTAGCATTTTGCTCCAAATTTCAATGTTGTGACCCACAACATCAGTGACTCACCCCACCCCTGCTCCCCAACCTTCAAGGAAGTTCAAAGGAATGTGCTTCTACACACACACACACAATCACAGCAAACGATCCGTCTGGGGCCAGGGAAGTGGCACTCACGCAAAGGCTTCCATGTCTGCCAGCAACGACATGGCTGCCCATGACAGTGAAGGCTCTCGCTCACCGCGGGCATCAGGCAAGGGATGAGAGCAAAGTGTTGACTTAGTTGCACAAAAAGGGCAGAGGCTGCTCTCAGACATAGACACACACACATATACAGACACACAGAGACACCAGCCAACTGCCATAGCTGAAAAGGGAGGAGGGCAGCCTGGGAAATGAGGCAGAAGCTTCCCAAACAAGTAACAGCCAGCTTTTGGGGAGAAGGAAGGGGCCAGGACATCTTGGGACCACCAGTTGGTCCCAAAGCAGGCAGTTCTTCCACCGGCCCGGCTGTCCTCTCACAGATTTATGCCCTTTTTCTGGGGAACTCCTGGAGCCCCACCACCCACCCGGCACTTTTATAGTTTCAGGAAACCTCGTGGGCAGCAGAGTTGCGCTCTTCTGCAGCCTTTCTGAAGAAAAAGTAGACACAACTGTGAAAGCGGCAAGGAACCGGATGCCCCTTCTGGAAGTTGTGGGGCCAATGCCCAGGTCTGGAGGGGTCCACGGATGCCCCTTTGCCAAGACTGAGGGAAGCTCAAGGGAGGGAGGGAGGGAGGGAGGGAGGGGGGGCAGGAGGAGCCAGCCGGATGTCACAGCAGCCCCACCAGACTGGATGGGCAAGAAGTTGAGTCTTGTCAGTGAACTGAGTGGCAATCCTGGGCTTGAAGCCCCCCCCCCCCCGAGGCTGCAGGGCATCCATCCCTCAGGTTGAAGGGGAGAAGGATTGGTCTAAACACCAATCACAATTTCTTTGTCTTCTGCATTTTTAATTTCTAGGGAAATTCTAGGAAATTAAAAATGGCTATAAGCCTTTATCAGCCTTATAAAGTTAATGCTTAATATTTCATCCTGGATTCACTGGAGTGCAGGGTGGGTTATCTACAGCTGATGGCCTTGGGAGTGTCCTTCTCCACCACCACCACCACCACCCCCTCCCCCCTTTCTTTAAAATATGAATCCCTCTTAGGTTGAGGGCCGGGAGGGAAGATGCCACATTCACTGGGCAGAGCAGGCAGCTGACCAAGGATGGCAACCACGAAGAAGAGCAGCAAAGAGGCACGAGGCTCCTTTGACTTCCAAGCAGCAATTCCAAGCTGCCAGGGCTGCCACACACCCCCCCCAGGCAATTCTGCACCCACCTTCGACTCTAAGGCAGCCAGGCAGTTGTTCATCGGCAAGGCTCATTTAACAGCTCAAATATTACAACACCACACAAACCAGGCAGACTCCATCAGCTGCTGCCAAGGGCATCGGACTCCCGGGGCTCACTCGCCATCCCTGCCTCCCTGGGTAGCTCTCAGAGGAGCAGCCCAGCAACGATTCCCCCCCCCCAACTTCTTTCAGCCTTCAGATGGTGGGCTGCTTTTTGTTTAGTCCCTCCTCTGCTTGGACCGCCTGGCCCAGAAGATGCTCCCCATCTTCTCTCGATCAAGGCTTGGCTGGTTCTAGGAAGCCCAGAGGAGAAAGGCTGACCACCTCAATACTGAACCCTAACCTAGCTTTCAGTTTTTTACTTTCCTGAATTACCCCTCCTATGTTTTCCTTTTCTTCTGTGCACAAGAGATACAAATGGAGGTCTTTAACCCAGCAAACACACGTGGAAAGCAACGGTGCCAACACATGGACGCATGGACTCCCTGAGACCAAATGACGCTGCATGTCCCTGAATGCGCCTTCCTAGGCAAGAAGCCTCCACCCTTCCAAGAAGGGCCAGTTCTTCCCAAGAAGCAGGGCTCCCCCCCCCCTCAGGACAGAGTGAGAGTGACCACTCCCTGCCTTCCTTTCTGCCAGGCTGAAGGTCCTTTCCAGCAATTAGACTCCCTTCAGAAGCAAAGTGAATGGATGGTGGAATTTATCTGCACAAGCCCACCACACACAGACACACTTTTAAATGACCTTCACTTCCTCCTTCCCTGTCCACAGTCCAGGGCACCAATGCAAGCTGGGGAGCTCTGCAGCTGCTCCTAGACCCACAGCAGACACACACACACACACACACATACACTCTGCACCCTCAGAATCTCCTCTGGGAGGATGCAGGGTTTCCCCCATCATATCCTTCCTTGCAAGAAATAAGTCTCCATTAGAAAATCTGCTCCACAAAACTTTGTGAGGCTCAGATTTGTGCTCTCAGGAGCAGCGCACCCCCTCCCCCTTCCACCGGCATTTCTCCTCCCAGCCAGGCCTACACGGACCCCCCCCCCGCCTGGAAAGCAGCCCTCCCCCTCCCTGGAGTCTCACTCTGTGAAACAGTCCGGGGTGGAAAGCCCCACGGGCTGCAGCTCCTCCCGGGGCTCGAGGGCCTGAAGGCAGCACCTCCCTCGTCAAAGCTCCCCCCAATCTGTTCCCCTAACAGGAGATGCAACCCCCCCCCCCCGCAGCCCTGAGCCAGAAGCCTGGGGTGAAGGGGGGCTTCAGCAACGGGCCCTTCTCCGGGACAGCCTGCCTAGGCAGCAGAGGCAGCGAGCCGCCCAGCCCCTTGCGGCCGGCAGACCCCGGCCCTGGGCAGAGAGCGCGGACGGCTGACGACGAAGCCAGCCCGCTCAAGTCCCGACCAAGGAAGGGGCCACCGGCGCCCTCCGCCCGCCGCGCATCACCGATCCCCGCGAGAGGAAGCCGGTAGGGCGCCCTCCGGGGACTCTCGGGACGCGCTTCCCGGACCCCGCGCGGGAGCTCCCGGGAGCCCCTCCGGGCCAGAGGTCGGGGTCCTCCCCGCCGCTCCTCTCGCTCGCCCGGCGCCGGCTCGTGATTGCCCGCCCCGGGAGGCTTTGCGGGCGAGCAGGGGCGGAAAACGCGCGGCCGCGCCTCGAGTTGGGGGCGGCGGGCAGAGCCGCGGCCCGGGGAGGCGCCGCCCGGAGCGCGACCTACCTGCGACATTTGCGGACGGAAGTTGATGTCCTTGAGGTCGACGGAGCCGGGCGAGAGGTTGTGCAGCAGCTGGCAGAGCAGCACGCCGTCCCGCAGCGCCTGCGCCAGCTCGAAGACCACGGCCGAGGGCCAGACCACGCGGTGGTTGGCGGGCAGCACCTTGCAGTCGATCAGCCAGCGCCCGCACTGTCGCCACTCCGCCATGGCGCCCGGGGGCCGCGCGGCCGCGCGCGGGGGGCTGCCTACGCGGACGGGCACCGCCATCCTCGGCCGAGACGGGCGCTGCGCCCGGGGGCCTCCGCCATGGACGGGGAGGAGGAGGAGGAGCCGCGCCGCCTCGGGGGCTGCCTGCCGGCCCGCGCCGAAGCTCACTGCGGAGGGCGCTGCTGGAGGACGGCGGAGAGGGGCAGGGCGCCCCGCCGCCGCTTCATGCCCGCCGGCCGCGGCTCTCTCCTGCTCTGGGCCGCCCCCTGTCCGCCCGCGCCGCCGGCTCCCAGGCTGCTCGACCGGCGAACAAAGAGCCCCGCCGGGCCGCGACCGCTCCAAGCCGCCGGGCCGGGCCTGAGCTCTTTTGTGGAGAGGCGGCGCGGCGGGCCCCCTCCCGCCCCTTCCCTCTCCGCCCCTTCCCCGCCCCTGCGAGCCGGCCGTGGGCGGGGAGGGCGCGGGCGCGGGCGCGGGCGGGACGGTGTCGGCTCCTCCCTGGCTCCGGAGCGCGCGCCTTTCCCCGGACTGCGAGCTGCGCCGGGCTCCCGCGACGCCGCGGACTCCGCGCCAGCGCCGGCCTGAAGGCTGCTGGCAGGCTCCGGCCCGGCGAGGGGAAGCGGAGGGGCCGGCCGGGGAAGCCTGCAGAAGAGCCTTTGTTGGGGCGCGAAGGAGCCCGAGGTAGCGGCTGGGTTTCGGCCTAGCCTTGGGGACAAGCCCACCTCCGTCTCGGCCGAGGAGGGTGCCCCGTTTGCATCTCTCGGGGCTGTGGAGCCCGAAGACGAGGGCCGGCCTTGGGGTCCGCCTGTCCCCACAGGGCGCCGAGAAGGGGAGGCCGCGCGGGGTGGAGCTGCTGTGGCCGCCGCCTCTTTAACCGGCGCCTCGGCCGCTTTTTTTGCGAAGCAGCTCCGAGTTTCTTGGGACTTCGATAGTGGCAGTTGTGGTGTGTGTGTGTGTTAGGTATTTATGGAGCAGAAGAGGGCAGGAAGAAACGAAATAACGGGGGGAAACGAGGAAAGCGACGGGCATCTCCTGTCGGGACGCTCCTCAGACGCGCCCCGAAAAGTTTGGGCTGAGGAGGCCGGTCCGTGATGGCTGCCTGTGCATCGCTCTCGCCCCCATGTGCAGGTGCGAGATGGGCGGGGCATGGTTTACGATACCACGCCCACTGCCTGCATGCAAATAGTGACCCCCCCCCTTTATAAGCAACTTCTTCAGTAGCTGCAAGTAAAAGAATAAGGGAGCTATTGCAGTTTTCATCGGAAGCCAATTCAGAATTCTAATGCGAGACAGCACCGCAGTACATAAATGCTTATTTATTTATATCCCACTTTTAGTATTTTTACAAATAGGGGGCAAACATCTCCCACACACCTTTCTCCTCATATTTTCCCTACGATACATCTGGGAGGTGGGTTGGGCTGGGGGGGCTGAAGAAAGAGGAGGGGGACTGGCCTAAAATCTCCCAGCTGGCTTTCTTGGCCAAGGGGGGCACCTGAACTTTTAGTCTCTCGCTTTTAGCCATTAAAGCAATCTCATGGAAAACCAACCCCACGAAAAGAGGTCTGGAAGGGGAATCCCCCTTTCAATGTGGAAGCCAGAAGTCGAGGAAGAGGAGAGTTTCAAGAGGAGCCCAGCGCACCACGCGAGCCGCTGTCCAGAGATTCACAGGTTCATAAGTGCCGAGGCGAGATGTGGCCTAGATGCTGTGCTAGAAGCAAGCGCTGGGTCTGGCTTGGTGGTTCATCCGCTGCCTGGCAGTCCCTTCCACAAGATGTGACCTGTCCAGAGCCCAGAGGCCCTCTCGGCATGTGACACCCATCCTACAGCAGTGCGAGGGCAGCTCCGGACAGAGTGGCACCATTCCTGAAGAACTGGGATTGTGGCTTCAACTATAAAACACCATGGCTTGATGCAATATGATCTTTGTCTGCAGTCTCCACCCTGCCTCCTAAAGAGTTCTGGATTACTGGCTTGGGGTACCATGGTTGGTCCTAATAAAGACACAACTGGTTTGTGCAAGTTCATATCTTCGTTCTTTTAAGGGTCTAACATACTCTGCTTTGTTTCTGCATACTCATCTGTGCAGACATTTTTCAAATATTGTACAGTCTTAAATCTGCTTCCTCCTGCTGGTGGCATCTAGTAATTGCAACTCATCTCTTGGAAGATTTTAAGCCTGGTGCCCATTAATGACTTCTTTGCAACTTTCAGCACTCTGGTGCATTAGGGCTGCTTCCTCTGCAGCTAACCTTCTGGGAAGGGAAATGCTGCCATCTCTTTAGGCACTGTACATTCCCTGTGCCATTTGGATCAGCAATGAACGGGTCACTCAACACGGAGTGAAACTTTCAATCCAGGTTCACAAAATAAAATTGCTAATTTACTTTTGGAGGAGCTCTTTACAGCCTTTGCTGCCTGTCCACCCAAAAACTGCTGATTTGTCAAATATAAATTTTTTATTATTTTCATCATAAAAAAAAACACATCACAGATACATCACAATGTAAAAACCCCCTACCCCCCACCCCCCACCCGGACTTCCCAAACCTAATCCCAGGATACTATTCAACTAAAAGTAAACTAGTATTAATATCCCTAACTCCACAAAATATTATTCTACATAAGTAGGTGAAATATATATATAAAGAAAAAAAAAGTTTTTATCTAAAAACCTAACCTATATTCCACCATTCTATGCTTATTTTGAATATAAACAATCCATCTTCTCCATATTGATAAAAATTGTTCATTTGAGTGATCCTTCAGATAAGCCGAAAATTTTGCCATTTCAGCAAGATGCGAAACCTTCAATCTCCAGTCCTCCATTGTGGGTAAAACTTTACTCTTCCAATTTTGAGCTATCAACAAACGGGCAGCAGTTAAACAATACAACATCAAATTTGTTTCTTTTACATCCAAATTATGTGTAATACCTAGGAGAGAAAAAACTGCTGATTTGATATATAAAACCTTATTACAATTTAACCAGTTGGTCTGGTTGACGTAACATTAAGGGTCTGGCTGAATTCCCATAACGCATGGAGAAGCTTCCAGTGAGGAATGGCAGACGGATATCCCACAGGGAGTGGGAGACATTTCAGCTGAAAATAGCAGCTGGATGCTTGATCCAGGCTACCAAAATCCCTGGGGAAAAGAGAGATCTTGAGTTCACCCATGCATACTCCGGACAGATATTTTTGTGTGAGTAGACAGCAGAAACTGGTGCTTTTGTGGTGTTTTGCAAACAGCTGAGAGTTGCAAGATTTCACCAAGCTCAGTGCCACTAATGTAGTCTTTTTATGGACTTACGGTTTAACCATACCTCACTATTAAATCACTTTGAAGCTTTCTTTTTTTCTTAGTACTTTTTAAAAGTTGAGAACTTTTAGAACTTTAAATCATCATATTTGTTAAGTGAGGTCTTTTTTAATTAATTTTTTTTTTAAAAAATTACAAATTTAAGATTTTGCAAAGGTTAGTTATAGTGCTGATTTTATAACGTTTTAAATTCATTAAGCTGCCCAGAATTGCTCTGGATAGCAAGATGGGCAGCATATAAATTTAATTTTAAAAAATTAAGGGTTCAGATAGACTTGAATTAGAACTCTGAAATTGGCTATAAGAAATTAACTTTGAAATCAATTAAATTGTTCCTTCCCATGAGAAATGTTATGTTTATCTTTGGAAACAACTGATAAAAGGACTTTAAACCCTGGACACCAGAGGACACAAAGAAAACACAGGCAGTCCTCAACTTACAACAATTTGTTTAGTGACCACTCAAGAGTTACAACAGCACTGAAAAAAGTGACTTATGACCGCTTTTCACACTTAAGGACCACTGCAGATCCCCGTGGTGATAGGATCAAAACTCAAGAGGCTTGGCCACTGGCTCACATTTACGACGGTCGCAATGTCCTGGGGTCACATGATCCCCTCTTGCCCCCTTCTGACAAGCAAAGTCAATGGGGAAGAAGCCAGATTCACTTAGTAACCATGTGACTAACTGAACAACTGCAGCGATTCATTTAACAACTGTGGCAAGGGAGGTTGTAAAATGGGGCAAAGCTCACTTAACAAATGTCTCGCTTAGCAACATAAATTTTGGGCTCAATTGTGGTCATACGTTGAGGCTACTTTAAGGGATATCTATGGTGAATGGGCTAAACAAGACTCAATTATAAATAAGTACTGGAAAGCAGATTTTGGGGGAACTAAAAATTGTTGGGTGAAAGAAGAAATAATACAGAATTGTTGTATTTGATCAAGCTTAATATAAATAGTTGTCATTTTTGGTAATGTTTAATGTGTTTTGCTGGCCAGGACTATATGATAAATGCTTTAAAGATTTTACTTATTGTAAGAGAATAAATGGGAGGGATATGCTTAAATAGAAAGGGATATATAAATATGAAAATATTCAAATTGGATTCAGTAGATAACGGGTTTTTTAATAGTTGCTATTTCAGATAACTCTTAATGGACTTTTGCTGATTAAGATGGAGAGGTAAGATTTTAAAGATTGGCTTGTAGAGAACACAATGAGGATAAGGAATGAAGAGATAGCTGGATTCACTTTCAGAGACAGTCCCAAAGGTGCTTTTTCAAGAGGCAACTGGACTTTCTTGTTTTTCTTTGAAGAGGTTTCCCTTCTCATCCAAGAAGCTTCTTCAGTTCTGATTGGATGGTGGAGAATGGAAGGATTTATACTCCTTGCAGACATTTGGTCATTTGCATTCTTTTAGAGAGTCGTTGAGGCCACTTGGAGGCTTATCTGTTTCTCCAGGGTCACCTGAACAGTGCAAACGGGTGTGCAGCCTTCTTGGAACTGTTGAAAGAACTGTGTTGTAGACTAGAGATAGACGATGTCGGATCCCTCCCCCTCTGTTGAGAGAGGGCTGTTCAGTTTGGACACAGATGGCCTCTTTGACCCCTCTTTCAAAGCAGGGCCTTGGAGGCTTCCCTCTGCATTTGCCACATTTTGGACAGAGAGGACCGCTGGTTTGAAAGGGGTCAAAGAGGCCATCTATGTCAAAACTGAACAGCCTTTTCTCAACAGAGGGGGAGGGATCCGACATCATCTATCTCCAGTCTACAACACAGTCCTTTCAGCAGTTCCAAGAAGGCTCCACACCTATTTGCATCACTCAGGTGACCTTGAGGACACAGATAAACTTCCAAATGGCCTCAACAACTCTCTAAAAGAATGCAAATGAACAGCTGTCTGCAAGGAGTATAAATCCTTCCATTCTCCACCATCCAGTCAGAGCTGAAGAAGCTTCTTGGATAAGAAGCTAAACGTGTTCAAAGAACAAGAAAGTCCAGTTGCCTCCTGAAAAAGCTGTCAAAGCAAGAATATCCGATGTTAGCAGCGTTGACATCCGGAACCATGACAAAAGCACCTTTAGGACAACCATGAGCTGGATGATTGAGAATCTCTATAGACTTTAGAGACAGTGATAGTTTTTATGCTAGCTGGGGTGATGGTGATGAAGGGGGAGGTTTATTTTTATTTTTCTGCACTTTTGATTTTACAACTTGCATTGGTCCCCAAGGATTCACAGGCTCAGAGACATCTGCAACATTTCTGCCATCTCATTCAGCATCCAAGTAGACATCCGAGAGCATCTGTCCTTGGGGGCTAACTAGGCTGCAGTCTGTAAAAGAGCCCAGTGAGTCTGTGGTGGCAACAACTGCCTCTAATAGCACCTTTTCCAATAGCAAATTTTGTTAGAAGGCCTACGTTCTTGCAAACTGTAGCTCATTTCATCAGGCAATGCATCTAAATCCTACAGAGCTCTGATGAAATGAGCAGCAGTCGATTAAAGCTTAGACTTTTTAAAATTGTAGAACATAAAATAACAGGGCTGAAAGGGACCTTGAAGGTTTTCTAGTCTGTCCAAGGCAGGGGCCTTATATCAAGCCAGTCAAATCATTGCCCAGCCTATTTTTGAAAACTTCCAGTGATGGGTACCCACAATTCCGTGAGGCAAGCTCTTCCATTGATTAATTGTTCTCACTGTGAGAAACTTTCTCCTTACTTCTAGGTTGGATCTCTCTTTAACAAATTTCCACCCGTCCTCAGGTGCTTTGGAGAACAAGTCAATCTCCTCTTCTTTATGATAGCCCCTCAAGTATTGGCAGACAGCTATCATGTCCCCCCTCATCGTTTCAACAGTTCCAAGAAGGCTCCACACCTGTTTGCACTGTTCAGGTGACCCTGGAGAAACAGATAAGCCTCCAAGTGGCCTCAACGACTCTCTAAAAGAATGCAAATGACCAACTGTCTGTAAGGAGTATAAATCCTTCCATTCTCCACCAAACCGTACTCAACGAGTAGTCCTTAATGGTACTTTTGTTGTTGTTGTTAGTTGCGAAGTCGTGTCCGACCCATTGCGACCCCATGGACAACGTTCCTCCAGGCTTTCCTGTCATCTACCATCTTCTGGAGTCTATTTAAGCTCATGCCTACTGCTTCAGTGACTCCATCCAGCCACCTCATTCTCTGTCGTCCCATTCTTCTCTTGCCCTCCATCTTTCCCAGCATTAGGCTCTTCTCCAGTGAGTCCTTCCTTCTCATTAGGTGGCCAAAGTACTTGAGTTTCAACTTCAGGATCTGGCCTTCTAAAGAGCAGTCAGGGTTGATCTCCTCCAGGACTGACCGGTTTGATCACCTTGTAGTCCAGGGGACTCGCAGGAGTCTTCTCCAGCACCAGAGTTCAAAGGCCTCCATTCTTTTGCGCTCAGCCTTTTTTTATGGCCCAACTTTCACAGCCATACATTGCAACTAGGAAAACCATGGCCTTGACTGTATGTACTTTTGTTGACAGGGTGATGTCTCTGCTTTTTAGTATGCTGTCGAGATTTGCCGTAGCTTTCCTCCCCAGGAGCAAGCGTCTTTTAATTTCTTGGCTGCAGTCCCCATCTGTGGTGATCTTGGAGCCCAGGAAGATAAAATCTGTCACTACCTCCATTTCTTCCCCATCTATTTGCCAGGAATTGAGAGGGCCGGATGCCATGATCTTGGTTTTTTTAATGCTGAGTTTCAAGCCGACTTTTGCACTCTCCTTCTTCACCCGCATCAAGAGGCTCTTTAGTTCCTCTTCACTTTCTGCCATTAGAGTGGTATCATCTGCATATCTTAGGTTGTTGATATGTCTCCCGGCAATCTTAATTCCAACTTATGATTCATCTAGCCCTGCCTTTCTCATGATGTGCTCTGCATATAAGTTAAATAGGCAGGGCGACAGTATACAGTCTTGCCGGACTCCTTTCCCAATTTTGAACCAATCAGTGGTTCCGTGTCCAGTTCTCACTGTTGCTTCTTGACCCGCTATAGGTTTCTCAAGAGACAAATAAGATGGTCTGGTACTCCCATCTCTTTAAGAACTTGCCACAATTTGTTGTGATCCACACAATCAAAGGCTTTAGCACAGTCAATGAAGCAGAAGTAGATGTTTTTCTGGAACTCCCTAGCTTTCTCCATGATCCAGCATATGTTGGCAATTTGATCTCTAGTTCCTCTGCCTCTTCGAAATCCTGCCTGTACCTCTGGAAGTTCTCGATCCACATACTGCTGGAGTCTAGCTTGTAGGATTTTAAGCATAACTTTACTTGCATGTGAAATGAGTGCAATGGTGCGATAGTTTGAACATTCTTTGGCATTGCCTTTCTACATAGAGTGGGGTACAAGGTTCTGTCTTAGGCCCAATACTCTTCAATACTTTTTGCCGAGCCCTGAAGGCCCATCTATTCCGTGCAGCCGGCCTGGCGTAGTTTGATTATGTTTTAGTGGGGGTTTTGTATGGGGTGTTTTTAGAACAGGCCTGTTATTTAATTTGATTTTAGAACAGAAACTTGTGTATATTTATTGTGGTTTTTAGTATCGCCTGTTCACCGCCCTGAGTCCCGTAAGGGAGATAGGGCGGTATATAAATTTAATAAATAATAATAATAATATCTTCATCAATGACTTAGATGAGGGAATAGAAGGGGAACTCATCAAATTTGCAGATGACACCAAGCTGGCAATAATAGCCAACACGCCAGAAGACAAGCTCAGGATCCAAACAGATCTTGACAGACTTGAACAATGGCCCCTATCCAACAAAATGATATTTAATGTGGAGAAAAGCAATGTTTTACACCTGGGCAGGAAAAATCAAAGGTACAAGTACAGATTAGGCAAAACCTGGCTCAAAAACAATAACTGCGAGAGGGACCTTGGAGTCCTAGTGGACAATCACTTAAACATGAGCCAGCAGTGTGCAGCAGCAGCCAAAAAAAGCTAATACAATCCTTGGATGTCTGAATAGAGGGATAGAATCAAAATCACGTGAAGTATTAGTACTGCTTTATAAAGCAGTATATCAGGCCACATCTTTATAAGGCCACATCTGGAATACTGTATCCAGTTTTGGTCACCATGTTACAAAAAAAGATGTTGAGACTCTGGAAAAAGTGCAGAAAAGAGCAACTAAGATGATCAAAGGCCTGGAGACTAAAACATATGAAGAATGGTTGCAGGATTTGGGTTTGGCCAGTCTAGAGAAAAGGACTAGGGAGGACATGATAGCAGTATTCCAGTATTTGCGATGTTGCCACAAAGAAGAGGGGGTCACGTTATTCATCAAAGCACCAGAGGGCGGGAAGAAACAATGGTTGGAAATTGACCAAAGAGAGAAGCCACCTTGGAATTAAGGAGAAACTTCCTGACAGTGAGGACAATTAACCAGTGGAACAGCTTGCCACCAGAAATTGTGGGCGCTCCATCACTGGAGGTTTTTAAGAAGAGACTGGGCAGCCGCTTGTCTGAAATGGTCCAGGGTCTTCTGCTCGAGCAGGGGGGCTGGACTAGAAGACCTCCAAGGTCCTTCCAGCTCTATTCTGATTGATTAAAGGAAAACCGGCCTCCTTTCCAAGCCGCCCGCGGAGACGACGAGGGGCGCACAGCCGGGAACAGCCGCCTCCACTTCCGCGCGCTTCCAGTGGCCTGGCGGGGGCGGCAACGGCCGGAGTTCCGCCCACTGACGCGCCCCCGGCCCTCTCCGCCCCCGCGTAGCGAGGAGACGCGCCGACGCCGCAGGAGGAGGAGGAGGAGGAGGGCGCGGAGGGCGGGGGGCAGCCTGGGCGGCCGGCGCGGAGGGCCTCTCCAGGCGCCGCGCCCATTGCCGCCCGCCGCCGCTTGCCGGAGACCCCAGGTAGGGCGGGGGGTCGGGGGTCGGAGAGGCTCTCGGGCCGGCTGGCCGCGGCTTTGCCGACGGGGCTGCTCCGTGAGCGCCTCCCGGCCGTGCGAGGCTGGGTGGGCCGCAGGGGGAGGCACTGCCGGTCGGCGCTCCGGGACGCTCCGCCACCCCTTCCCCTCCCTTCCAGGGGGCCCGCCGCGCGTTCCCGTCCCCGTCCCCGTCCCGGGGCTCCCTGCCCGGCGCCGCTTCCGCGGCCCAAGAGAGCCGCGCCGGCCGAGGGCGATGTCGGCGAGGCCGCCGCTGGCCGAGAAGGCGCTGTCCGAGGCTTTCGCCCGCCTGCGCTACCGGGACGCCTCGCTGCTCATCTGGCAGCAGCAGCAGCAGCAGCTGGAGGCCCGCCCGCCGCCCGCCACCTACCTGAGCCGCAGCCGCAGCGCCTGGTACTCGCAGTTCGGCAACCAGGCCGTCCTGGTGCGGGACAGGAGCAAGCTGGAGGGCCTCCGCGATTCGGCCGAGTCCCGCTTCTGCGCCCTGATGTGACCCCGCCGCTCGGCCCGCGACCCGGTGTCTCTGCAGCGCTGGCTTCGCGCTCCGGCTCCGGCAGGGAAGAGAGAAAGGGGCCGCTCCTGGACCCAGAGTCGCGTGCAGCATCTTGGAGTCATCTCGACGACTCTTCATGCCTTTGGCCCCGCTTCAAGTGGCGGGCCGTTCCACCCGCTGACAGCTGGCGGCTCCTGACCTGCCCCTTGCGGTCTTTCGAGGTGGCTGTGCTGCTCCAGGCAGAAGCAGGTTCTGCCGGGGAGTTTCTTTCCCGATGGACCACCGAGGCTAAGGGTGAGCCGAGGGCAGAGCTGCTGGAAGGAAGGAAGGAAGGAGGGGAGCCCTGTGGGGCAGGAGCCTAGGGCCCCCCCCCAACTTTACAAGCAAAGAGCCCCCTGAAAGGATTCCCAGCCCCCCCTCTTGCATCTGGACCTTTCCAGGACATTGGGAGGGGGAGAAAAGGAGGCGGGGCAGAGGCATTCTCTCTAGGCCCTTCCCCACGTCCCTAACGTGCTGGCTGAGGCTGACTGGAACTGTAGTCCACACAGATTGGGTGAAGCAGAGATGGAAATTTAGCCCCTTTTCTGCGAACTCTGGGTTGGGGAAGGCTGAACTCCACACAGGAGTTCCCTCTTGGGCCACCAGTCAAATCTGGGCCCAATCCTGGACCCCAAAGCCGTGCCCTGAAGTTTGTTTTGAACCCAGGGCAAGCTGGGTGATGTTGCTTCTTGGGGAACATGCAGATTTTGCGAAACTCTGGGGCTTTTCTCTGCCTTCCCCTACTGGGCAGGATGGAGCTATTCCAGAGCGGCCTCTTCAGCTTCCTTCTGGGCTCCAGCATGGAGGGTGAAATGCGGCAGCGCTCACTCTGTGCCCCCCCCCTTGTGCTCCTTGCAGGCCAGGCCAGCTTCTTTGCTGGGGGTGGACCATTGGAGGGTACGGGCAGAATTCTCTTGCTGAAATCTGGCCTGAAGACTTGGGGCCTGCTCAGGCCAAGGCCTGCCGGGATTCCTCCACCGGTTTCAGTAGCAACATCTCCACATTCTTGGCTTTGGCCACAGCTTGCGCCGTTGTCCGGTCCGTGGGCTGCTGGTCCAAATCTCAAGCAGGCTTTTTTTTTGTTTAGCTCAGGACTGCAGGCACCTGGCAAGGAAGCCAGCTGGGCATAGAGGCCGTGTTCGTACCGACCAGCTGGGGGAAACCTGACTTGCACAGAGAAGCAGATGCTCGACCTAGAGCCTTTGGTCCCACTGATGAAGGCAGGCGGTCGACAGGGCTGTCCAGGAGCCCCACCCGAGGACCATTTCCACCTTCTGGGCTTTCCAGACGTGTTTCCTTGGTACTGGTGCAGACACAGCGATGATTCTCAGAAACCAGCCTCTGCTCTGCTCTGCGTCTAACTGTACAGCTCAGCATCTGATGGGAGAACCCAGTTGGAATCCCTCCAGTTCTGGGAAGCAGCCCTTGCGAATCGGGGCAGCTGACCTTCTCTGGCCAACCTCAGAAGCTGCTCTTTGTGCGTATTTTACCTTTGGTAAACAGTGGTCAGTCTCTGTGAGGCCCCAAATGTGATGCCAGTGAGGGCAGCGGACAATGTTCAGTACTTTTCCTTTTCAACTGGACTTTGCTGCCAGAGACATGACTTTCAAATTGCATCAGTCAATAAAGAATAACTGCATGCTCTTCTGTCCCCAGGCCTGTTACAGTGTCAAGTACAGAAGTGGCATCTGCTCTTAAATGGGTCTTTGTTGCTTTATTTTTTTTCCAAACTGTTCTACTTTAAAACAAGATACAGAGAAAAAGACGGACGTGGGAGAAGACTAGGAATATACAAATAAAACATGCTTTATCTGGAAGTTACCAATACCTGTAAGTCCAAAGTCTATACAAAAAGAAACCCAAAGAATCCCAAACAATCCCATTCCCCCAAACTGAATCCACATACAAGGAATAAGCACCAGAACAGGAAACTATCAAAGGTCCATAGCACCTGTTGGTTAAAAAGTCAGATACGTTTAAATTAAAAGGATTCCCAATTTTCTTTCAGAGCTTAGTTTTAAAAACAACACAAACCTACATTTTGTCTGCTGCTCTTCAAAACGCAGGATTCATTTTTAAGTGACCACTGGAGTTAATAAATAAAGTATTTCTATGTACATGAAAAAGATACTCAATTCCGGGTGTGTCGTGTGCAAAGTGCAGGTCTCCAGGGCAGGCTGGAGAAACAAAATAGCTCCTAAAAAATGGATGATCCTTACAAAAACATTGCTTGCCCACCCTCCCCTTCCCCAAAGCATATTCTCCCACCGTACCTTGAGGTAAACGTTTTGATTATTTGGAAACCTGCACTCGCACAACACACGTGTTCTGGCAAGGAGGGAGCCCGGACCGCAGTTCAGCCAGGGCACCGCCTCGGACTGCCTGCTGTCAGGGGCGCCTTGCCATGGATCTGGCAGCCCCTTTGTTCTCACAGAAGCTGCCCTGCTGCTTGGAGGGGGACAGAGTGAGGGACTCCCCGCCCTTCCAATGCCAGGATCAGAACGGAAGCCCAGGCTGCTCCCTGGCTGCTGGGAGACCCCGAGCAATGGGGCTCCGCAGGCTCCCTCTGCCCAGTGGCCAAGGAGCCAGGCTGCTACGGCCTTCCTGCCCCCCCAGAGGGTGATGGGCAATGCCGTCCTGCACAGGCAGACGCAAGGCCTTGCCAAAGGTGGCTGGGCAACCGCTTGCTGGGCCCTGGTCGCGTCCACTGCCCTCAACAGGGCAGCCACCTCTTGACAGGTTTTTCACAACCAGAGCATGAATCTATATATTGATTAAAAAAGGTAAAAGAAATATCTAAAAAGGTACGCTTTAAAAAACAATCCACAGTACATGAGCTTTTTCCCTCTTATCTATAAAAAAAGATTAGGATCTTCATCCCAATGGAGAAGGGGAGAGGGCTGCCTGGTGGGGCCGGGGGGAGTCGGCAGACCAGCAGATTAGAACATGGCCGACCGGCCGGCCTTGCCACACTGGCCTCCTCCCACTGCAGTACCGTTCACTGAGGTTGCTCCCCCCTCCAAAATCCCCCCCCCATCGCCTTCCAGGAGAATCCGCCCTGTGGCCTGGCCAAGGAGCCTGCCAGAAAGGGCAGAATCGCTCCCCCTCCGGGCTTCGGCCATGGTGCAGGCGGGGGGGGGGGGCAACAGAGTCTCTGTCGAGTTCTCCTTCAGCATTTCGGGCTAAAAAAGGGTTTAGAGACTTTAAGTGATGCAAATTGTTTGCCACCAAGTCTAGTCGGGCGTTTGACCTAATAAGAGCAGGAGGAAACTCTTCTGAGGAGGGATCGTTCTGTAACACTTGAGTCCTTTAAAATGGCTGCAAAAGAGTGGAAAACGCAGACTTGGTCACGATGGAAGAGAGGAACCGTTAGAAAAATAAAACGAGGGGACAGAGATTCCAGTCCGGACAGGCCAAAGGTCCCCCCTGGTCATTCTGAGTCGCTGCTGTCGGAACTGGAGCCGCTGGAGCTGCTGCTCCCCGACTCGGAGCTGCTGCTGCTGCTGAGGTGAGACGGGCCACCGGACGGCGCCGAGGAGCCGGATTTTTCTAGCAAGCAGGAAAAAAAGGAGCAGAGGAGAGCGGTCAGCTGAGCCCCAGCTGCTTGCCCCCCCCCCCCCGCTTTGGCCTGCTCCCCTCCCAGGTCTCAGGCCTGAGATACCTGTCTGTCTGTCCCTGTCTTCTTTTGGGCAGCAACCCCTGGGGAGGGGGCTTCCCTGCTTCAGCTCAAAGCCCCTACAGAAAGCAGCCTGGGAGTCTGGCCTTGGGGAGGGGGGGGGTCCTGGTTGATGCTTGAAAAAGCTGGCTCAGTGCTCAGGAGACCACCAAGAGATCCCAGGGCTGGGAAACCTAAGAGTTGCTGTTGCAAGTCATAGCCCAACTTTGAGGCAACTTCATGTTTTAACACATTTTTGAAACTCAAGTCTTCTCTCCCCCAGCCCCCCCCCCCCAGCAGATTAATCAGTTATATCCAAGTGGCAGGTGAGACCAGCCCTGCCAATGGCTAACACAATGTGCTAGGACGGGGGGGGTGTCTCCACAGTGTAGCTTATAGGTCCACCGAGAGGCTGAGAAACTGAGTGAAACAGCCAGGATGTGGCTGCCACGTGAGAGCCAGGGAAGAGGGTGGAGGAGACGGGGATGCGTGGCTGAGGGGAATCGGGAGACGAACCATGAAGGCAGCCACCACCACAGGGAGGAAGGTGGCCAAATCTTTCCCACTGGAGACAGGTGGATGAGAGGGACCGGATTTGGCCCCAAAACATCCATTCACGGTATCAGAAGAACACACACACCCCTGCAGCCCTTCAGAATCCCTGCATCTTTGCTCCCGCTCGGCTGGCCCCGAGCTTCTCCCTGGAGACACCTCGGGTGGGACCCTCTGTCCCCCCCCCTTTGACTGTGAAAGGCAGATGGAAAGGCTGGGTGCCTCTGCTGTCCGCAATGTCGGCCTGCTTGCAGCTTTAGCAGAGCCCTCCTTGACCTCTCTGCCCCATGCCAAGGAAACATCCTGGCGCTCCTGCTGCCAACACCCAGGCCCTGCGGCTCTTTGGGGAACCACCGGGCAGTCAATATTGCCTAGCAGGGCTGGCCATGGCATGCCCTATTTTGATAGCAGGATGGATGGAATGGAAGCCTAAAAATATAAATAAGACCCTGGTTTATGAAGAAAACCTCTAGCGGCAGGTTAGAGCTGCCTGGGGCCCTTCTGCCTCTCGTGGGAGCCGGCTGGAAAGCCCTGCTCCAGAGCGCCCAGCACTGGCCTTCCTGGGGAGGGGCCTGGGGGACGGAGCCTTGCCTGCCCTGGCGCTGGGGCAGAGATGAAGGGGGGGGAGTGGGCCCCCACTCACCTTTCTTGGCTGGCTTCTTGTTGTTGCTCAGCTGCCCGCTCACGTCCTGCAGGCGCTTCTCCAGCTCTTTCTTCTTTTCCTGAGCCATCTCCTCCTTGGACTTGGCCGCCTGCTTCTTCCCACTCGCGGCTGTGGGGAGGAAAGCGGGAGGGCTCAGACAGGAGGAGAGCCGGGATCCCAATTTCCCGGGAGGGCAAGAACACCACAGGGAGGGCCCATCGGGCTGCACCGGACGGAAGGCTCACCCGCTGCAGGTGCTGCATGAGGCCTTGGGCTGAAGGCGATTCCGGACCGTGGTCCAGACGGCCAGGGCTCAGCTGCCCCCCTGCGACAAGGCCAGGGCCACCAGGGAGACGGGGAGGGGGCTCAGAAGGGGGGGACCATACCACAAAGGGTGGGGGCCCAGCTCAGGGCAGGGCTGACTCAGCCAGAAGCCCCCAGGCGTGGAAGCTCCGCAGGCCTTCCTGGGGCCTTCCAGAGGCCCAGCCCAGAGCAGCCAGCAGAAGATCAGGAGGGGCTGGAACCCGACCCCCCTCCTTCCACGGGAGTTAATGGGAAGGGCCACCCCCTCCACAAAAGAATACAAATTACAGAACACCCCTCTCCCCATGGAACCCATCCAGCAAAAAGGGAAGCCCCCTCCCCTCAAGGTTGGCCCCTCCTGGAAAGAAATTTTCTCAACATCCGGGCGGCAGCTGCTCTCCTCCTGCCACGGAGAGGGTCCTCACCCCCAGCCTCACTCCCCCAGGCTCCAGGGACACAGGGTCCGTTGATGTGTAGAGAAAGGGAACGCTCAAGAAGCCCAAGCTGAATTACAGAATGTGTTGTACAAACTCAGACTTGACAGTTGGTTCTTGGGATGAGATATTGAAGTGGGCCCTGACAACGAGCACGAGAACAGATCAGTGATGTATGAAGGAAATGAAGTGTGTACGACAATCTATGTTCCTATTGATTGTCGAACACACTTTACTTCCCTCCCACGCTTAGCCAGCAGAGAGGAAGGCAACAGCACCAGGGGTCTCCTTCACTGGTGCTAACCGGCTGGCTGGTAACTGACCAGGAATGCTTGGGGTCATTTCAGCCTTATGTGTGGACGTCTGTGTGCAGATGTCCAGCGCTCTGCTTCCCTCGTCTTTCTCCTTTTGGGTGCCCGAGCAGCCTCTTCTTCTGGACCTTGCCCCAGACCTCTGAACGCGTGCCTCATCCAAGAGGAGATGTCCAAGAAGGCCCTGCCGTCACTTTGCTGTGGCCGAGGAAATGCCCTCATTGCCGAAACCGTTTCCTGGGGTGAGAAGAGGACCGGCAAGGCCCTGGATCCTCTCTTCAGAAGTCCAGCTGCGCCTCCGCTTCCCAAGGGGGGCCTGGCATGGTTGAAAGGGGTGTGCAGAGAGAGGAAAAAGCGGCAAGTGCCTGTCTGACCACTTGAGCTCCAGGATGTCTCTGCCATGTCAGCATTCCTACCAAATATCTCCCTCCGACCAGTCCGCTCCCACAGAGAGGGCCTCCTTAGGGTGCCATCGGCCAGTCAATGCCGGCTGGCGACCCCCAGGGGGAGAGCCTTCTCTGTGGCAGCTCCTGCCCTCTGAAATGACCTGCCCCCCGACCTACGTACAACTACGGACCTGCCCCTCTTCCGCCGAGCCTTGAAAACCCATCTATTCCATGCGGCCGGCCTGGCATAGTTTTGATTGGGCTTTGCTAGGGGTTTTATATGGGGTATTTTAGAGCAGGCTTTTTATTCAATATTTATTGTGATTTTTATTATTGCCTGTTCACTGCCCTGAGTCCCGTAAGGGAGATAGGGCGGTATATAAAGTTAAATAATAAATAAATAAATAAACAAACTCCACGTCCTTAAGCCGGGTACCTGCTTGCTCCAGGTGCCAGCACTGGCAGGGCCTAGGATTGGGGGAGAGGACTTCCAGACACGCTCACTTGGACACCCAACAGTTGAAGGACCGTTTCAAGCCCTGGTTCAGGGACCCAAAGCTCAGCTCCCCATTTCCATGAGGCCACCACAGGGCCCTTGGGGCACCCCTGAACACTCAGGCTCAATGGCAGATCAAAGGGGAGAGCAGCTTTAGGAATGGGCCACCCAAGTAGTTAAATCTCAGAACGGATGGATGGTGCCCTCTCTTGAATTTAAGGAAGCCAGCAATCACTGGATTTGGGGTTAACCTAGACAGACACTGAGATCTTTTTTTTTATTTATTTATTTATTTATTTATTTATTTATTTATTTATTTATTTATTTATTTATTTATTTATTTATTTAATTTATATACCGCCCTATCTCCCTTACGGGACTCAGGGCGGTGAACAGGCGATACTAAAAACCACAATAATAAATAAATAGTTTCTGTTCTAAAATCGAATAACGGGCCTGTTCTAAAAACACCCCATACAAACCCCCCCACTAAAACATAATCAAACTACGCCAGGCCGGCCGCACGGAATAGATGGGCCTTCAGGGCTCGGCGAAGAAGGCGCAGGTCCGTAACTGTACGTAGGTCGGGGGGTAGGTCATTCCAGAGGGCAGGAGCTGCCACAGAGAAGGCTCTCCCCCTGGGGGTCGCCAGCCGGCATTGTCTGGCCGACGGCACTCTAAGGAGGCCCTCTCTGTGGGAGCGGACTGGCCGAAGGGAGGTGTTTGGTAGGAGGCGGTCTTGCAAATACCTAGGTCCAGTGCCACAGAGCGCTTGGCAAGTCTTGATGACTGCATGCCCCAGTTGACCTTTTGGAGACTCTGAATGCTATCCAAGCCCCACCCGCAGTAGAAATGGGTAGCACTCTCTGGGAACTCCTGTGTGTAAATCTCTCTCTCTCAACTTAAGAGAGCAAGTAGATGAGGGTGGAGGTTCATTCTCCAAGCTTGTGGGTTCATTTCCAAACGTCTCGTTACCAGGATAGGCAAATTCTCCGGCGGGATTTAGGGGCTGTCACAACCAGCAGACGCCCGGCCGACGGATGTGTCCGTAGCCTTCTAAGTCTGCCAGGACAAAGTGCAAGAGGGCCATGATGCCAGCCTCAGGATTTGTTGATGTGATTAAAGGAAACTGTGAAGCACCCATGGATTCAGGATGGGGGAGATGCAGCCCGTCTTCCGTTGGTGGACTTCAGCAAGGGCCTTTGGCCTGGGCCTTCCTTCCAGGTCCACCTCTGCTCCTTGATTGGATCAGTAGGGCTTTTCCCCTCTCCCCCCGTCTGCTTTAATCCAAATAGTTTCAACAGCTTCACCACGCTGGATTTCTGAATCACCCAGTGGGACTTCCTCCCCTTCTTTCTCTGCTGTGCCTCTCAGACAAATGTGTCCTTCAGCTGCTACAGCCAAATTCCTTTATTATTTATGGAGAGTATCATTTACTCAGAGTATTCCTCTGCTCACTCCATTAAGTGCTCGTCTCTGTTAAACAATTGCATTTCCCTTCCGATACTATGAATTCACGCTCCCTCTCCCTAATCTCGTCTTTACAGGTAGTCCTCGAATTACATTTGTTTAGTGACTGTTCTAAGTTACAATGGCACTGAAAAAAGAGAATTGTGACTGCTTTTCACACTTATGACCATTGCAGCATCCCCATGGATCACGTGTACAAAATCCGGGCACTTGGCAACTGGTTCCTATTTATGACGGGTGCGGCGTCCCGGGGTCACATGATCTCCTTTTGAGACCTTCTGACAAGCCAAGTCAATGGGGAGCCAGATTCACTTAATGACCACAAGATTAACTTAACAACTGCAGTTATTTGTTTAACAACTGTGGCAAAAAGGTCATAAAATGGGGCAAAACTCAACAACTGTCTTCCTTAGCAACAGAAATGTCGCGCTCAATTGTGGTCGTAAGTCGAGGACTGACTGTATTTATTTGCTCCTTTGCGGACTTGTGTCCCACCTTCCGGAGCTCAAGGCAGGGCCGAGAAGCCTGTGAGGTGAGGCGGAGGGAGGCGCGGCGACTGGCCCAAAGGGTCCCAGGGAGATGGTGGGGCTGAGGTGGGCCTGGGTCTCCTCAGGGCCTCCCCCTCTGCACCGACAGGCAAGTGGGGATCTCCCAGGAGCCCACACAGCTCCTGAGCTTCCACTGAGGGGCCCCAGAAACCCTGATTATACCAACCCTGCCATCTTCTGCTAGACAAGACAGGCTCTCCTCGGAGGTTCCCACGTCAGTGTCTTCGTCCCCCATTCCAACGGGCCTGGTTTAGTCCTTGCCAGGTACAGCTGTCCTCGGGCCGGCAGTCTATAATCCATGGGGGGGAGGGGGTGTCCCAGAATAGCCAATCAATCATTCGCCCCACAGTCACCTTTTCTCTTCCAAGTCCTCTTTCATGGTTGAAGGAAAAGGGTGGGCCAGAATCCCACTCGGGCCCCAGGCTCTTGGCTGCTTCCTAGCTCTTCAGGGTGCGGCCACTGCAGCTGGTCTCACCACATCCACCTGCTCCAGCAGGAAGCAGCGATGGTCAGGGCGCTGCTAAGGCCCGAGGGATGTCCGGCCCCATCCCTGGTCCCAGCTTCGGTCTGACCGGCTTTGCTGCTTTGCTGCATGCCTCTCTCTCTTCAGGGTCCCTTCTGCTCTGCCCTCTTTTTTCCCCCCTTTTCCAGCGGGGCTGTCTTCCAAGGCAAACGGGAAGCTGCTGCTTCTGAGCTCTGGCGGTGCAGAATCTCTTTTCTGCCTCCTATGCTGGGCTTGTCTGCTTAATTTTCCTGATGGAGAAAGATTTGCTTCCTCTGAAGGTGGCCAACCTCTCAGGCTCTCTCAAACGTCCTGCCAAACCTATACGGTTCCACCACAGGGAATACGTCTTTAAGGACCCCTGCTGCACTCCGAGGGCAAAGGCCGGTGCTTTCATGCTCTTCTTAAGGACAACCTTCAGAAAAAGGTTAACACTCACTTGCATCTAGGAAGCTGGCATTCACCCATCATTTAACCATGGGAGCAACTGACTATCACGGTATGAGGGAATGACCAGGGGTGGGGGGGAGGAGGGGGGAGAGAGAGAGACAGGGACTAGGGAACATTCAGATAAGGAGGGGGAGCCCAAAGCTGCACAGTGGACAGAGAATGAAGTTTAGAAAGGATCCTCCCTAAATTATCAGGATGTAAAAGGAGACAGCAGGTGACTTGTACCTTCAGACTTCCAAGGTTCTGTTAATGCAGCTTTACAATAAAGCAGAATTAGCTCATCTGCTCTATCTGAGAAGGCTGGAACAACATACAACACGGAAAGCAAATCAGAACTGTGAGGGCTCCAGGGCAGCTACCAGTCAGAAATCAGAAAGATCTTCTCTTCTTCCAGCATGTTGCCTTCTTCTCAAGAGCCTTCCCATTAGTGGGGAAGCAGAAGCACACTGCTCACAGGAGGCACAACAAGGAAGAGGGAAATGAAGCCCACCAGGCGGTTAAAAGTGAATCATCCCCCAGCACCACCTGCTCTCACAAAGCACTCTCCCAGCTGGGCCGGGGGGGGGGACCGTGACCCCGCAGCAGACAGGAAACCCTGGGAGGGTTTGGGCTGCCTGGGGCTGGTGGTGGAGACAGAAGAGTTGCCTGAACATGGAGACCAGTGGAGAGGCAAAGAGCAGAGAGAACAGCCTGTTCTCAGAGCAGGTGTGTTTCCCTGCTCTGGGTGTGTGTGTGTGTGTGTGTGGGGAGCTCCCCAAAGTAGCAGCCTGGGCAGTGGGGCTCTTGGCTGTAATTTTCCCAGCTCGTTTGAACCCAGTATTTCTTTTGCTGGCATCTCTCCCACACCAAAATTGCTGCCGATGGACAGAGAGGCCCTTATAAATCGTAAATAGATGAGGAAAAATATAATTCTGATCTCCCCCCTTGTCCAACTGAAATTGCCGCAGAACCCCAGAGGCTTCAGGAGCCCCGGGAACTTCAGCCTTAAGAGGAAGCCGGGAAAGACACCCCCCACCACCACCATTTCTACGGCGCGAGGAATCCCACTTACAAAATGGCTTCCGCTGTTTTTTCTGCAAGCAAGACTTGACATATCTCTCGAGTTCCCGCAGGGTGGTGGGCTTCAAGGTTTCAAAATCGATCTCGATCTCGTCGGGATTGGAGTCCCTGAGGGAGGGCTCTCGCGACTGGATGATGTGCACCACCCGGCCCAGCTTCTCCCCCGGCAGGCGGTTGATGTCCAGGCTGAGCTGGCGCTTCTCGTCGTAAGTCATAGGGAGGCCCTCTTCCTCCTCCTCCGAGTCGTAGGTCGCTGAGGCTTGCTTCCCGGCCTTCTTCGGCTGCCTGTGGACAGGAGGGGAGCAGTCAGGGCCTGCAGCTCAGAGCCCCCCCGCCCTCCCCCCGGCAAGGCCCCTTTGGAACCTCTCCCCAGCCTGGCGGCCTGAGAGGGTGGGCCGGCTCTCAGCAGGGAGCCCACTGCCGGGGATCCAGAGAGAGAGAGAGAGGTGGGCTCCCACGGGCCCTTCTTGCATTCTTCACCCTGCTGGTCCCCGGGCAGCCTTGCCAGAAATGCCACTGTCCTTTTGGCACCCCTTCTCCAATGTCACTTGCCACTTTGTGTTGGCCAGCTGCATAACATCTTTGGGTGGTCCTGGGTCCTCCTCCCTTGCCCCCCTGCCCCACCCAGCCTCAACCCCGTCCCGGAGCGCCTACCTGTTCACGGGAAGTGTGCTGTTGGCCTTCTTGGCAGGGGCTTTCTTCTGCTGGGGGGCTTTCGCTGGTGGGGCCGTCTTGGCTTTCTTCTCCTCCTCGACTTTTGCCTTGTGCTTCTCTTTCTCCTTCTCCTTCTCCTTCTTTTTCTTCTCTTTTTCTTTCTTCTCCTTCTTCTTCTTTGGCTTGTTCACCGGTGCTTGCGAGAGGGCAGCCAGCTGCTCATGGACGGCCTTGAGCTGAGAGGGAAGGCGAAGGAGAGAAGCTCAGCTGATCAACGACACCCTCGGCCCGCTCAACCCCGGCCACGTCTGCGCCCAGCAAGAGGATGGGGAGGGTGGCCGCCGCTCCCCTCCCCCCTCTCCCCCCCCCCGCTGCTCTTGGCCTCAGGCAGGCCAGCCGGCTCAGGGGCGAGACACCTTCATGGGACCAGCAGCTCCCAGCCGTTCAGGCTGCCGGGCCCGGAGCCTCACCCCAGGCCCAGCCCAGGCTGCAAGGGACTGGCACAAGCTGCTCCTCGGCGGGCTGCGTGCGTAAGGCTTTCCCGCTGGGCCACAGCGCGGCTTACTTGCTGGAGCATCGCATGGGAGGTGAAGATTGCAACGGCGCATGTTTTTAACCTGGCATGGACTAACTGTGATCCAAGAGGCAAGTGGAGAAATTTGTTTCCTTTCATTTAATTTCAAGTGGTTATTGATAGTTTGTATATTGATTTTAACTTATTTTGCTGGATTTGCTATTTTTTAACTTCTGTGAGCTGGCCAGAGATGGGCAGTTGTACAAATCAAATCATAAATAAATAAATTTAAGCAAATTTAAATCCAATCTAGCTGAAAAGAATCCCCTTCCACCGAGGATCCAAGAATGGTCCCCTTCGGCCACGGCTAGCTGGGGTTGCCTGCAGCACATGGAGGCAGCCCCCCTTTCCCCCTGTGGCAGAGGGAGGGGCAGGGCTCACGGGTGCCCCCCCAGGAGACCCCCACTCGGCAGCTGGCAGGGAGCAGAAGGCCAGGCGGAAGAGACGAGCAGCAGCCTAGGGCCAGCCTTTGCTCACTCGAACCTCTTTCTTCTTCACCCAGAGAGGAAGAGACAAGGCGGGGCGTGTGTGTCGTGTGTGTGTGTGTGTGTGTGTGTGTGTGTGTGTGTGTGTGTGTGTCACGGGGAGAGTCGGGGGGGGATGGATCTGGTCTCCCGAGAGTGGGCCTTGTCCACCGATCCCACCTCCAAAGACCGTCTTGCGCAGAGGATCGAGCGTGGGGGTGCCACGCTTCTCCTCTTTCGGCTCCCACACACTTTCATAAAGGGTGGCAGGAGCTGTACAGTGCCTCAGGCTAGTGGAACTGGTGACAGTGGAACAGTCAAGGCTTCTTTTATTAAAGGGACCCAGATTCAAATCCTCACTCAGCACTGATACTCACCAGCAGCTTTGGCAAGCTGGCCGCTTGGTCTACCTGCCCAGGCTACGTGCAGATGCCACGGTGCTCGTGAACCCCCTGGGAGAAGGACAGGCCCTCCTGGGGCTTCTGCCCTTCTGGTTCCCCTTTCCCCCAGGGGTCCCCCAGCAAGAGCTCCTTGGCACTCCCCCCTCAAGCCTCCAATGAACACCCAGTCTAAAACCTGGCAGGCACCATCCCTTTTAGAGTCAACTATTCCTTTGCTTTGGTTTTAGTTCAGCCCAACTCTAAAATCTGGATGGAACAGAAACTGAAAAATAAAGCATCTGCTGCACACTGTGAATGTTCAAACAAAGACAAGGCAATTCTGAGGCACCTGGGAGAGAAGCATCACTACGTTTATCCCCCATATTCATGAGGACTAGGCACTTGTTCACTGAAAACTAAAGCAAATTCTCAGAAAAATCTGGTGGCAACCCCAGGCATCCTCAAGGAGCAAAAACAGCATTCACCCACAAGGGGCCACGCGACTGGCAGGCCCCATCCCAGCCACACACACCCCGGAGGAAGGCTGCAACTGGGAAGGGCCTGCCGTCATGAGCCCCTCCCAAAAGGCTCGGGACAGAGCTCTCCTGCGGGCCAAGGAACAGCCCTACCTGCCCGGAGCAGCCCACTCCCCTTCTCTGCCCACGAGGGGCTTTCCTGGTCGGTCAGCTTTTGCAGACCCCACACCTGGCCCTATCCCATGGGGGCACTTCCAACTGGCAGTACGGCTGCCCCCCTCGCCCTCAGGGGGATCCGGGAGGGATTCTGGTGGGGCAGGAAGAGAATAGGCTCCCCCCCCCAAGTTCGGGCACGGGACAGGAATGGGGCTGGCCCCCGCCTGCCCTCCTGGGCCAGCACCACCAAAGCACCGACTGACTGCTGGGATGAAGCATTTCTGAAAGGCCTTATGAATTTTATGCATCTGCACACAATACAGAAGGAAAAGCATTTTATAAAAGGGAAAAAAAGGAAAAAATAAACAAATACATTCCATCCATTCCAGTCTCGGGAGTCAATGACCTTGTAGCACTGCCTCAATGATCGGGAACAGTCCTGTGTGAACAAGAAGACAGGCAGGGAAGCAAATCGGGTGTCCACACCGCACCCTGGGTCAGGGGGGAGGGGGGGTCCACGGAACCACACTTTGGCTCTTGGGGAAGCCTGGGACACCTTGAGTCTTTGGTTTCAAGTGCCAAGTTTCTAGTCCTCACTGCTGTGACAAATGTATGAAAAAGGAGGGCAGTTGCTTTTCTACTACCGGTCACAGAGGAGGCATGTGAGTTATTTTACACAACCACCAAGGCGCCAGGAGGATCTCTGGGAGGTGTTGTGGCCACGTTCGCATTTCCTCTGCTCGGCATAGAGCAGCCCTGCCTTTGCCGACTGTCTCAATGTCCTCCTTGGCTACGGGAGGTTTTATAAAGAAAGTGGGACCTGCCGATCAGTCCAGAGGCCCTTCAGGCCAGAAGGAGCATCTCTGCAGGGCCCCGGCTGAGGGTCCCCGCACCGCCAGCGGCCTCCAGGGCCAGGCACGGCCCCTTCGCGAGCGGCTGAGCCCCCAACTGCTCCAACGGCGGAGGCCACCCACCTGCTCTTGCAGCTCTGCCAGCCGCGTGGCCCGCTCCTCTTCCGAGTCCGAGCTGTCCGAGTCCGAGGAGCTCCCCTCACTGCTGTGGCTGCTCTCCGTGCTTTTGCTGACCACGGGGGCAGTGGGCAGAGGGGGCGGTGGGGGGTCAGCAGGCTCGTCCGGCATCTTGGCAAATCGCATCTCAAAGACGTCCTGCAGGAACAGCCAGGTTTGGAGGAGGGCAAAGGTGCCCCCAGAGCAGGCAGCCGCCCCAAAAGAGGCAACCCCCCCCGCCCCACTGCTTCTCCACAGAACTGACTGGAGAAGGACACCAAAGGCAGCCCGGGGCTCCTCTTGGGATGCTGGGACCCCCATCGGAACCGCTGTCTAGCCTTGGAAATGAGAGATTGGCAGGAACCTCTGGGAGATGCAGCCCCAACACAGCTGGGGCAGGCGCCAAGTTTGGGCCAGCTGCCCGAGGCCTCTCCAGAAATGTGGTGAGAGGCCCCGGACGTCCTTCACCTATCGAGACCAACCAGCAGGCAAGTGGCCCCTTCCCTTGACTCCCATGTCGTGGAGGAGGCGGGGGGGGGGCTGAGGAAGACACCCGACCCAGATTAAAGGTAACTCCCTTGAAACAGTAAAGGCAGCTCTGATCCAATGTACAAGCAGAACAAACATGGTGGCGTAAATTATAAGCAATCTGTATGCAAATATCCAACTTTGCATAAAACATAACATGCTATTTACAGATTTCGCTGTTTGAGGGGAACTTTTTGGAGATTTGAAAGGGCAGAATCCACACGTTTTATGGGTAACACGCTCAGGCCCAGGGGAGCACAGCAGAAGCTCCTGAGGGGCTAGAGTGGGGGAGCCCAGAGGCATCAGCTCCAGGCAAACTGCCATTGAGGATGAAGCAACTGTGCTGAGTTGAAATCAAGAGCAAAGGGGACAACCCTGCGATTAAAACTGTTCACGCTTAAGGCCAGCCCTGGTCATTATTGACTCCAGGGGGGAGGAAAAGAGCCGTTAGTCTCCATTGTGAGAACTGCCTGTCAGACATTGTGAATATTTTGTGATGACAGTCATGAGCCTCTGAGATGGAGGTTGCAAGGAGCAAGAGACAGCCGTAGCCGGAGGGGGGGCCCACGGGAGGTCTAGGGGCCAAATACCAGTCCCCGGAGCTTGACTCCAGCAGGGAACTCCGGGGACAACCCTAAGGCAGCCTCTTCAGGGGGAGAAAAATGGAGACTTAAACCCTGCTGGGTCAAGAGCAGCAGGCAAGGAGGTGGCCTGCTGCACCTCTGCCGGAGTCTTGGCTCTGGACCCGTCTCCTTGCAAACCAAGGCAGAACTGACCCAATCAGACCACAAGCCCTTCATTGACACCGCAGGCCCACTGCTCTGCTTCACTCTAGCCCCCCCCTCTTTTTTTCTTCTTCCTGGCAGGGAGCCCCCTTACCTGCAGCTTCCTTGCCATGGCCACCACCTCATGGTCAGGCGGATTGTACTTGTAACAATTGGAGAACATTAACCGAATGTCCGCTGCAAAACCTTGGGCGTCCTGATATTCCCGACCGTCCATTTTTTTCTGCAGAGGAACACAGAAAGGGGACAGGATTAGATGGAGAGGGGCGAGAGGCGAGGAGGGAAATGCCCCCCAGGAGAGACAGAGGACCCAGGCCACTCGAGGGCTGACTTCAAAGGAAAGCAGTGGGCAGGAAAATGCCCTTGAAGCCGCGCTGACCACCTACCTACCTATCCTTAAAGCCCCTCGAGAAGTCACAGAGAGACAGGGAGGCGTGGGCAAAGCCTGAGCAATCAATCACTCAAGGCATAAATTGCTGGGACGTGCAAAGCACAGAAAACCACAGGACTCAGCCTGGCTGGCCTTCCTCTGAAAGAGGCCTGGAGCAGACCTTCGAGGCAGACTGAGGGCACCAGTCAGAGCCCAGAACCTGCTGCAGCAGCCCCAGACCTCCAGCCCAGAACTCAGACTGGCAACGGACGCTGGCTCGGGCCCCTGGGCGTTTCCCAGAGGGATTCCAAGGCAGCCTTGCGTGTGTGTGGACGTGTGGATGGCAACCAGACCTTCCCTTGCCGCCCACTCAGCCCACGGAGGGCAGGGCCTTGCAGAGGGGGGACGTTCTGTCTCCCCTCTTGGGCAGAAGCAACATGGGGACGCCTTTGGAAAGTCCTTTGGGACAAGAGCCATGAAGGCTCAAATCTGCTACCTATGCCCTGGTCCTCTACCGGATGGATTACTGTAACACGCCCTAGGTGGGGCTGCCCTTGAAAAGCATCCGGAATATAGATAGTGCAAAATGGGCCGGTGAGGGCAGTTACGTGCACCCCAAGATCAGCACATGCTGCACCTCTGTCCCGCAAACTGCACTGCTTGCCAGTTTGCTTCTGGATTCAATGCAAGGGGCTGGGAATGGCCTCTAAAGCCCTGCGTGTCGTGGGCCAGGCTATCCGAGGGACATCTCCCCATCCCATCAGACCAAAGGGGTTCCATCTGGCGGGGCCCCGGATAAGAGCTTTTTCTGCCACAACACAGACCCTCTGGAAGGACTTTTCCCTGAAGTGAGGGTGGCCCAGCCTTATTGGCCTTTGGGAAGGGTCTGAAAACTTGGCTGAGCCGTTCAGGGTCGGGATCCTAAGGACGTCGTCTATGAGCTGCTGCTGCTGCAGCTCTCCCTCGCTATGATTTTGGCTTAAATTGTTTTCCACTTTACTTATACAAGTTTATTTTTTGTTGTTTCCATTTGTAAGCTGCCCAGAGTCATATGAGTGAGTTGGGCAGCTATATCAAACCAATAAATATAAAGCCACAGCGGACAGCCCAACCTGGGCTTTTCTTCCCAAGCTGCCAGGGCAGGGCGGCCCCACAGCCCGCTCCCCTGGCCCTCATCCTGGAGGGGCCCCTGAGGGCAGCACTGGTCTCAGGCCTGGCAGGCCAAAGTGTGGCACCTTCCCTCTTCTTGAACTTTACCCAGCCACTTCGACCTCGTCCAGGGGTCAGGGGTCTCCCCAGGCAGTGGCCAGCAGAGGGGCAGAGTGGAGGCGGATTGGCAGCAGCTGCAGCATCCTGGCAGAGGGACTCTGGCCAGATGGGCCAACACAACATGCTGGGCTCACACATGGCTTCTGGTTTTTACCTTGGTGATCTGGAATTGGAGTTGGCTTAACGACTGCATGATTTACTTAACGACCACAGCAAACTGACCTCCTTAAAGACTGTCTCGTTTGGGGACAGAATTTCTAGTCCCAGCTGTGATCATAAGTCGAGGACTGCCTGCATCCGGGCAGGGACCAGAGGCAGGAAGGGGGAGCCCGGCTGGGCCAGAGCCTACCTGCAGGTCAGGCGGGGGGGGGAAGGAGGAGGCAGGCCAGCTCTTCCCCAGCTGCCTCCCGGGCACCCGCCGGGGTCTGCCGGGCAGGGCTGGGGGCCTGGCGGGGGCCCCAGGGGCAAAGGCGACCTGCCTTGACAGTGCTGAGGTCCATGGGGTGCTTGATGATGTCGTGGTAGTCGTGCAGCTCCAGGGCCTCGGCGTCCACCGGCTTGTAGAAGGGCCAGGCGTAGGCCGCGTGCTTCTTGGACAGCATCTCCCTCAGGATGCTGTCGCAGTACTTGAGGTGCTCGGAGAGCTTGCCCTTCTTGCCCGCGTGCTGGGGCACCTCCCCGTCTTCCAGGTCCTTCTTGGGTGGTTTGATGGGCCGGCCACCGCTCTCCCGCCGGGCCACCACTTTGGCCTGCTTTGAGTCCAACAGCTGTGGGGGGGACTCGCTCCGGCTGGCTGTGATGGCTGACGTGGTGGGCGTGGTGGTATCCGCTTTCCGCTTCACCCCCTTTTTCTGAAATCCAAGCACAGCCCATGAGGAGGAGAGGGCGGGTGGGCAGGAGGTCCCCAGGAAGCTGGGTCAGGAGGAACCTAGGGGGGCCAGAGCGATGGCGGTGGCCTCTCTACGACCCGAGACCAGAAACAGACCAACCTCTGCTAAATGAACAGGGAAGGGGTAGTGGGAGCAGCCCCCCAGCCCCCCCTGCCCTGAAGGAGAAGCGCCTGCGCAGAGCGGGGAGGCCCCAATTACCTTGACGATGGGTGGAGTGGGGGGAACGACCGCCATGATTGGGGCGGCAGGAGGCGGGGGAGGCGGCACAGGCGTCGCAGGGGGGGCAGTGATGGGGGTGACGTTCGCGGTGATGGTTGGCACAGGCGTGACAGCAATTACAGGCGTCTGAGATACCGACGGAGGGACGCTCTGGAAGGGCGCTGGGGGGGACGCAGAGGAGACGGCTGTGGCTGCTGGGTGCTGGGCCCCTGCCGGGAGGAAAGCAAAGATGTCTGAGAGGAAGGCCAGGCAGATCTGGCTTTCCTTTGCTGTGGAATTTATGGCATGGGAATCCTCTGTAAAATTTTATTATATTGCATTTGCTTAAAACATTCAAAACAGCGAAGAACACAAGTACAACTACAAAAAGAATGAAATTAAAATGTAAAAACGTCATGAAGAATTCAATGACCCATCAGCTGATACCGAAGCCAGTAAGTTTAGGTTCGAAAATGCAGCCCCCAACATTGGGTTTGGCTTATTTGCAAATGGGCTTATCTTAGAATATATAAGTGATACTCTTTTAAAAATAACCGCACATACTTATGGATAAGCTGAATCAAAATGCCATAAGAAATGTGCCATCCCATGGATACGCCCATTGTGAAGATTTAAAACAGAATCTATTCTGGAAAACAACATTTACTGATACAAATTATGAAAACAATTGAAGTCCTTCAGAATATACTGAAAACAACACATTTATAGGATCAGTTTATCTGAAGGTAGCACATTTGTTACGGTATTTTGGTTAAAAATTTGAGTGTCAGTTCATCTGCGAGTAGAGCCACGGTGGCCCAGTGGTGGTTAGAATGCCACACTGCAGGCTGACTCACTGCCCACAGCCAGGAAGTTCGATCCTAGCCGGTTCAAGGTTGACTCAGCCTCCCATCTTTCCGAGGTGGGTAAAATGAGGACCCAGATGGTTGGGGGGGGGGAGGTCAATATGCTGACTCTGTAAATCGCTTAGAGAGGGCTGTAAAGCTCTGTGAAGCGATATATAAGCCTAAGGGCTATTGCTGTTGCTATATACAGAACAAACATTTATGCTCTAGTTTAAATATTAAATACTAAGCATTAGAAAGTTTTGCTTGTACTATTTAATATTAAACATTTGCATTTTTTGCTTATATCTAAGTCATTTCATCTTTTTAATTAATCTAAGTCTCTATATTACTCACATTTTCAACTAGTAGATAATTCCTCATTTTACATTAATATAACCTATCACTACCTTCCAAAACTTTTTATATTCATCAGAATGTTCTAATTTTTCAGGATTTTTTTGATATCTTTATGAAAAATAGTTTACTACATACTTCTAACTTGTTTTTAAGAAGTGTGATGGGTAAAAAAACTCCTTTATATGTATATAAATTCTGATAATTTTATGATTGTTTTTTTATAAAAAATATATATTTTAATGCAGTACACTGCATGGAAATGCAATAAATAAATGGTTAAAATCTTTTAATAAATGAATAAAGTTACCTGAATTACAAAGATTTTTGTGTATCTTACAAACTAATTAAATTGTATTGAATATAAATTTTTATTCTACAGAATCAAATGCCTTTTTAGCAGGCAGAAAATATTTCACATTAGTAAGATGGCTGTAACAATTTTTAGCATCAGTCTTGTGCAGACAGGGAAATGTAATATGCTTACATATTGTTTAATTCAAATGTAATAGTTTTGCAATTGGTCGGCATCAATTAATCTTATTGTATTGCCAAAATCTGAGCGTATGTCATTATGCTGCACCCATCTCTTGGGTTACTGTTAGATTAGAGATCCTAATTTACACACAATAATGTGAATATGCCTTAAGCCATGGGTCCACAACCCCTGGGCTGCAGACCGGTATCAAACTGAGACCTGCTGGGAACCAGGCAATGCAAGCGGCAGGCAAGCATGCACAGAACTGTGTGCACAAAACAATCCCCTCCCCACCCCTCCCCCCACCGCCGCCACCACTGCCGGTCCATGGAGCCAGGAAGGTTGGGGACCGCTACCTTAAGTGAAACTCCTTTGGGATGCCTTTGCAAAATGTGCCCCAAATGGCCAGTTCGGCATCCTTGCCATTAGGAATGAATGCTGCATGCAGCATCAGCAAGACTCAACTTTGTAAGCTCTATGTGCTTTAATAAAAATAATGATGCAAATGCCTAGAATGACAAATGGTGTGATGGGCAGTGGAAGTCCATATCTATGACAAACAGGAGGTATGGAATAGAAGTGAAAAACTAGTAAAGAACATTAAGGGGGGGGGAGAAAACTAGCTATGTTATGTGCCTGTCAAACTAAAAAAAAAAGAGGGGAAGGATAACACATGTGAATGAAGATGGTTTGATCTTGTGCAGACAGGGAAAGTGCACATGTGAAATAAAGATTTAACTAAGGATGAAAGAGCCACAATGATCCTCAGAAGTAGGAACTGGCCTCACGAAAGTTATTCTGACGGCAGACAAGAACAAGAATTGGTGGGTGAGGCAACAGAGGTATGTTACGCTAGACTGATGGGCCACAGCAAAAGAATCTGCAATCAGTTCTAGAAAAAAGCCGCTGGACCCTCTGAATGAAGGCCATCAGAGGAGGTAGCCTGTTCCACTAGACAGATGAGCCAGTGAGGGAGGGAACAGCAGAAGAGAGAGACGATGGAGCCGTTTAGAGACCCAGGAATGAGCCTCTGATTATCAAAGGGCATGTTTCCAAATACACAGTTGGGCCACCACTTTGCACATGGAGAAGAAATGAATTGAAAAACATTACTTGTTAGATTGCTTGTGGTAAAAACTAATGAGAAGTGGTGAAGCTGCGAGAGGAAGGAGAAGAACAGAACAGAAGCTGGAGGGGGCCTTGCAGGTCTTCTAGTCTAACCCCCTGCTCAAGCAAGAGACCCTATACCAGGGGTGTTCAACTTGTGGGCCACAGCCTGGTACCGGGCAATGGCCTGTTGGTCACCGGGTTGCAGGAATGGCTGGCAAGTGCATGCACATGTGTACGCACCACTCACTCACAGTGGCACCATCACACTGGTGCTAGCGGCCCTGTTTGCAGACGCGCGCAGGGGCTAGCGGCCTGTTTGCGCACATATGTGGATGCTAGAGGCCCACTTGCGCATGCACGTGGGCTCTAGCCCAGGGGTCTGCAACCTTAAACAATCAAAGAGCCACTTGGACCCGTTTCCCAGAGAAAAGAAAACACTGGGAGCCGCAAAACTTGTACGCACACGCACATACAAGGGGTGGGGAGCCTGATCGAAGAGTTTAATTAAAAAGAAATAGAGGCTGCTGTGCATGAGTTCTCTCTCTATTTCTCTATTTCTCTCTCTCTCTCTTTCCTCTCCCTCTTTCTCTTTCCTCTCCCTCTTTCTTTCTTTCCTCTTTCCTTTCCCTTTCTCTTTCTTTCCTCTCCCTCTTTCTTTCCTCTTTCTCTCTCCCTCCCTCTCCCTCTCCCTCTCTCTCTCTCTCTCCCCCCCCCTCTCTCAGATCTTATGCTCACCTGGAAAATTGGCTTCAGGCTCTTCTCCAACAAGCTGACACACATTATTGGGCTGGCTCTCTCCTGCCCTTCCTGCTTCCTGTAGAGATGCAGCAAAGGGAGGAGCCCCGCCCAATAAGCTTTCAGCTTGTCGGAACAGCGTGAGGCTACTCTCTTTTTTACACACACACACACACACACAGAGAGAGAGAGAGAGAGAGAGAGAGAAGAGGGAAGTGCAAGTGCCTCTCTCTCTTTCTGTCTGTCTCTCTGCAAATGGCAGAGGAGGCTGGGAGCCGCAGGAGAAGGCTCAAAGAGCCACATGCGGCTCCGGAGCCACGGGTTGCTGACCCGTGCTCTAGCCCCACCGCCGTACACGTGTCCGTTTGCACATGCACGTGCGCGCACATTTTCCTGCTCCTCCCTTTCCCTCCGAGCCCCAACCCGGAAAGGTTGGGGAGCGCTGCCCCAGACCATCTCAAACAAGCGGCTGTCCACTCTTTTCTTAAAAACCTCCAGTGATGAAACATCCACAACTTCTGAAGTTCCACTGTTTCTGATTCCGCTGTTTCTGAGAGATTCTAAACATGGAACCAGCCACTGTTTAGAAATGTGAGTAGATGACTTTGGAGGAAAAAGGGACACGGATGAAAGAAGGGAAAAGGACTAGAGTGAAAGCAGAAACTTTGTAGGAAAAGAAAGTCCTTTATGGACCTGCATCAGAAGACAGACCATCTGAAACTTCCAGTCCTGCGCGGTAGCGACTGGTCGCAGGCTTGCGGACTGCCGCACCCCCACAGCCAACTTTCATCCTGCCTAAAGACCCTAATGGGTCCAAGCCACCCCGGAGAGTCGGCAAAGAAAGAAGGGTGCCCCGGCGATTCTGGAATGACAGCGGTCGTTCCGTTAGTCTTGGGGAAAGCCTTCTAACCCGACAAGAGAAGGGCTGTATTTCATCGATCAGCCCAAGCTACTTGCAACCGGAGTTCAAAAGAACTAACCAGCACTACAGTAAACAGAGTGCTTGAAACTGGGTGAGGAATCTGATTTTCCCTTTTCTATTTTACACTTAATTTCCTAATTTCCTAGAAAAGATCCCCAAGAAGCAAAATACCTCCGAGAGTGAAGGAGGGGGACTTCTGCCCCATCCTTATACTAACGGAAGCAGCGAATTAAAATTTCTATGGAGGATCAAAATATATGGTAGTGAAATAAATTTATAAATTTGAAAGCTAAAATTTAACTTTGGACAAGTTTAAGTGTAGAATGGTTAAGACTCTCATTTTAAAGACCATTGTTCATATTGAAAACTAAATAGATGCTGACACCTAGTGGTGGATGAAGATTATGACAGCTATGATTTCCATAGAGAACTTGCCAAAAGCTGGGAAAAGCTAATCTGTGTTTGTGACCTTCAAAACTTTAATAATAAAGAACAGCTGTGACAAAAAAAAGACAACAATCTGGGCTGCAGACAAAGAGAGAATTATAAACTTTAGAAAAAAAAAACTTTTTGGAACTCTTCGGATTACAAATATCTATTTAACAGCACTGTCGTTAACCGATGACTACCTGCACGGCCTCCTTCAGAGGTGATTGAAACATCCCCACACCCAAAGAAGCATTAATTACTGCTCATCTCCATCCCCTCACAGGAGATCCTGAAGGGCAGGGATCGGATGGGAAGTGGTGGGACTGGCCCAGCAGAGGGCGCTCTCAGCTTCCCTGAGCTTCCCGGACCCACCTGAGCAGGCCCGGGCCTGGCCCCACTGAGCCCCGCTGGCTGCAGGCGAGCGCCTCGTCCAACAGACGCTGGGAGAATCCTCCACCGCTGCCCTTCGGGGAGTCTTGGCAAACCTGTTTCCCTAAAAGTAACACCCTGCCTTAAAAAGGGGCCACAGGTGGTCCTCGACTTGCGACAGTTCGTTTAGTGGCTGTTCAAAGTTAGAACGGTACTGAGAAAAGTGCCTTGTGACCGTTTTCACACATGGCCGTTGTAGTATCCTCATTTTGATCAGGTAATCAGAATTCAGACGCTTGACAACTGACTCCTATTTATGACGGTTGCAATGCCTTGGGATCACGTGATCCACTTTTGTGACCTTCTGACAGCAAAGTCAATGGGAAAGCCAGATTCACTTAAAACCCTGTTACTAACTTTAACAAACGCAATGATTCACTTAACAGCCGTGGCAAGAAAGGTCATAAAATGGGGCAAAACTCACTTAACAACTGTCTTGATTAGCAATAGAAATTTTGGGCTCAACTGTGGTCGTAAGTCGAGGACTTCCTGTATCTCCTAGAGCAGGGGTAGGCAACCATGGCTCTTTTATGACTCATGGACTTCGACTCCCAGAATTCCTGAGCCAGCCATGCTGGCTCAGGAATTCTGGGAGTTGAAGTCCATGAGTCATAAAAGAGCCAAGGTTGCCTACCCCTGTCCTAGAGTCTAGACAGAAAAGCACCATTGCAATAATGTAGTCAAAGTGACTAAGGCGGTCAACTGGCATCAAAAGTGAATAAATCATTAAAGTATTAAATAAGACAAAAGAAATGTGACGTTTTTGATGGAGCTATGGAGCTGTTGTGAAAAGGAATGAAAAGGTTCAAACAAGAAGCCTGACGCAAAGGGAGTGGAGTGAGGCATAAAGAGGAGGGAGCAAAGAGGAGAGAATGCGGGAGGGCAGCGTTTTAAAGCTCTCGGGGGGGGGGGGGGGACGGTAGCCATGTGTTCAGGAGCACATCCAGACCGAAAGCTACAGGTCCCAAAGACAAATGGGATGTGAAGAAGCCCTAAGTGGTGGAAGAATTTTGAGCAATTGGAAGGCGGCAGGCATAGATGGCATAACTGGAGGATACAAATGTGATTTGCTTATGAAACGGCTGTGCAATTTGTTTAATGTATGTGAAGTCTTCATGTCCACCTGGCAATTGTTGCCATTCCCTTATACAAATGGTGAAAAAGCAGCCTGAGGAGCAGAACCTCTAGTTTGCTCAATGAGTTAGGGAAGCTTTTGCTAGAGTTTGGTGGACTGGAAGGGAACAAGGCAACAAGCAAAATCTGGCAAGTACAAGGCAGGGAGGGAGGGAGACCAGATTTCTGTCCTTCAGCAGGGCACCGAGAACCGTATGGAGGGGAGAAGGTTTGCTCCATATTTGTGGAGTTGGAGAAAGAATACGCTAAGGGTGTTAAAGACTGTTTGCTCAAAACGGTAACCGAGGTGTGTGGAAGCAAGAGACGGCTAAGAATAAATGAAATAGCTCAACACTGGCAAGGATTAAGAGAAAGACGTGCGATGTCCCGTTGATTGTTTAACGTATTTCTGGATAAATCCAGAAGGAATACTGGGCAGTAGAAGCGTGCTGGTGGGGTGTGAAAAAGTATTAGCTCTTTTGCATAATGATGATGATGATGATGATGATGATGCATTGTTGACTGACAATCTGAATGTACTGCAATAAATGATAATAAGACTCTTTGATGAAATGTGGAGGATGAACTTGAGAATTATTTTTTTGAAGACCAAGGTGCAAAACATTTCATCCAGTACGTGATCGTGCCTATTATGGAAGAATTTTGACCGACAGTGGGGAGATGGATGAAGACATTTTAAGATGTACACATCCTGGCAGGACAGCAGCCTGCATCAAGCGATTTCTCTGAGAGGCAAATGTTCGCTAAAAGAAGCAAAATGGCTACACGCAGGCGTCTGCTTCTGCCCACTTAGTTACATCAAATACGAGAGTTATATGGCTACATCAGGAGACACATAAAATGTAAGTTGGAACCAGCAGGGATGGAGAATTTAAGAAGTCTGTGTAGTAAAACAAGAAGAAATAAGATCAGAGATACATGCGTGCTGAACTGGTGTGGAATGAATTCAAAAGTGAGTGACCAGTACGAAAAGAGTGTATCAAAGTAGTCTGGTCACATTATGGAAAAGGAGGAGGACAGAATTGCAAAACAAATACATGAAGATGGGGGTGGGGTGGAGGCCTTGGGTTCTGTGCTGGAAAATCAACAGTCCCCCAATAAAGTTTCCCTTTAACAGACTATTCCCATCCTGGCCCTGAGAATTTCATTTTTGTTTCTTAAGGGAGGGACTTTCCACTTTTCCCTATTACATTTCATTTGGTTACTTTCAGCCCTACACTGTGTAATTGATCAAGAATATTTTATATTTTAGTCCAGTCATCAAGGGTATTAAACAAACAAACAAACAAGCAAACAAGCAAGCAAGCAAGCTCTGTGGCTCAATTCTGTATCACCTGTTTAAGAGGTGGGCTTTCCTTCCAAACCATAATGAAAATACGGAGCGGGGGGGGGGGACTTGGCACTCTGGACTGAATCTGGTGCCCCCTTCTCAAGGCCTTCTCCATGCATGAACTGCCCGTGACATCTCCATTTAACCCCTGCGCTACCCAACCTACTCCTTACTAGTTCGGGGTATTGTTTTAATTTTTTCTGCTAAATCAAGCTACACCACATCTAAAGGGAAGGCGTGACCAGCACCGGTGTGTGTGTGTGTCCCCTCTTGGGGATGTGCCCTACTGGGTTCGGCACCAGCCAAGACCCCAAGGCAGGAGAGGCGGGGTGGCAGTGATCATCGGAGAATCTCTCTTGGCCTTCAGGGGCCAGGTCCCCCGAGTTTCCAGATGGGAGATCCTGCTTCTGAGACTGGGCTCCTGGGATCAGCATGATATCCATGTGTTTTATTACACGCCACTTAAAGTCACGTCGAAGCGCAAGATAGGTGGCAAGTAAGTTTAATAATAAAAAAATAAATAAAATAAAATTCCCAGAAATGTTTCCCTGCTTCACTGCCTCTTCCCTTTCCACGAACACCATCGCTATGGCAAGCAGGCCCACATGCATCTCCCAGCCTTCATCTCTCACCTGGGTTGGGGGTCCCAGCCGCCATCTTCCGAGCTTTGCCTTTAGGCACGGGAGGCAGCAGTTCCACTTCCTCCTGAGGCATCTGGGCCACTTTCTGCAGGAAGATCTTTTCCAAGGCTTGTGCCATGAGGACAATATCGTCCGTTGGCTGGCAGAGAGGCACAGAAAGAGAAGGCAACACAGAATAACACAAGGCAAACCGAAACCCGAATGCCCACACATTCATTGCTAACTTTTGGGACAGAGGCCGTTTGGCCTCAGAGGGTTTGGGTCCGAGGGAGAAAATTCAGAGCCAACACTCCCTCTTGGTAGTGGCCAAACAACCTCCTGAACGTAGCCTGTAAATGCCACGAGACCCCCCCAGGAAACAGCAGACTAGATCCTTTACCTTGTTGTAAATGTAACAATTGGTAAACATGGTGTTGAAATCCTGCATGCATTCACTGGCGCTCCAGTAGTAGTTGTGCTCCAGGCGCTTCTTGATGGTGCCCATGTCCATTGGGTTCTTGATGATTTTGTGGTAATCCTGTTGGGGGGAGGAAGCAGTCAATCTTTCACTGGCATCCCGGGGATGACCACATAAGATGGCCAGCAAGAGAGGCTCTGTCAAGGGAAGCCCTAAATTCTGACACTGGGGAGTGATGGATGGGGCAATCAATCAATCAGAACAGAGCTGGAAGGGACCTTGGAGGTCTTCTAGTCTAACCCCCTATACTATAGGAGATGCTATACTACTTCAGACAAGTGGCTATCCAGACTAGGGGAGACATGATAGCAACATTCCAGTATTTGAGAGATTGCCACAAAGAGGGGGGGGGGTCAACTTATTTTCCAAAGCACCAGAGGGCAATACAAGAAGCAATGGATGGAAACTCATCAAGGAGAGAAGCACCCTGGGATTAAGAAGAAACTTCCTAACAGTGAGAACAATTAACCAGTGGAACTGCTTGCCACCAGAAGTTGTGGGTGCTTCATCACTGGAGGCTTTTAAGAAGAAGAGACTGGACAGCCACTTGTCTGAAATTGTATAGGGTCTCCTGCTTGAGCAGGGGGGTTAGACTAGAAGACGTCCAAGGTCTCTTCCAGCTCTATTCTGATTGTTATTTAATTGGAAAAAATCTTTTTCAAAAAATGGGCAGAAAATTCATAGAAACAGGGGAAGAAATTACACTATAAAATGAAAATATCCCCTTTCCTGAGTGTCATGGATGAAGCAGCAACACCACAAATTATGGAGCCCCAGTGGCGCAGTGGTTAGAATGCAGTATTGCAGGCTAATTCACTGCTCACTGCCAGATGTTCAATCCTGACTGGCTCAAAGTTGACTCAGCCTTCCATCCTTCCGAGATCAGTACAATGAGGACCCAGATTGTTGGGGGCAACATGCTGACTCTGTAAACCACTTAGAGAAGGCTGTAAAGCACTATGAAGCGGTATATAAAGAAGTTGCTATTTTGTGTTTTCCTGCCTTTTATCACAAACAAAATGTTGAGCCAGATGGAGAGTCGCTTTTGCTCAATGATGCCTACTTGGCTTTGTTTCATTTGAGAGGAGTACCAAAGTGCCATCGTTCCATGTGAGTGATCAGGTTTGCCTTGGCTAAAATTCAACAATATTTGGGGAGGGGATTCCTTATTTTCTTCTGGATTTCAAATAAATAAATAAAATAATTGTGGGAAGAGAGAGAAAGCAGGCTGACTGGCTATTCCGCTTTGGGAATCTGGACAGTTAAGGCAAAATCCTGCAGGATCTGAGCCAGTAAGCCATCAGAAAGCTGTTATTTTTGCTGTTATGGTGTAGGCGATGCAATATTTACTCTCCAAGGACGGGGTGGGAATCTCACCATTTAGCAACACGAGCACCTGGAGAGTGACTAAAGAATTCTCTTGGGAGGCAGGATGCTGACTGCTGCCTCAAAACTCAAACTCCACATACACAGGGAAACAGTGGCTGTGTTATGGACCGATAACAGGAGACCTGCCCATCAAACACAGTCTTTGGATGCAACCAGAGAGGCAACAAAACCTCCTGAATCTCGCTTTGCACCTAAGTTGACACTTAATTTTAACTGTTTGCAGACAGCTTCAAAAGACACCTTCACACAATGTGATCTATAGCATGTCCCAATTTTAAATTTAACCGTGTTGCAGGTTAAACGTTAAATGTCTTGACAGAGACATAAAAAAAGAGAAAGCCACACGCCCAAGAAATGTCACTCACCGGTAAGTTTAACTTAATGGCGTCCACTGGTTGGTAGAAGGGCCAGGCAAACTGGTGCTTCCACAGGGTCTTCACCACCACGTTCTGCATATACTGCAGTTGGTTCGTCTTCCTCCCAGGCTTGCTAGGGTTGGTGACCTCTGGGGGAGGAGGATTGACTGGCCCCTGGGGGGCCTGGATGGCTGATGTAAGGGCAGACATGGTTCCCCGCCTCCCTGCTTCACTGAGGGCAGCAGCAGCAGCAGCAAAAGGGGGGAGGAGGAGGAGAGCCGCCTTTTATGCTCCCCGCATGGGACGGGCATCCCATTTCCTGGGACCGGCTATGCAGCCTGGAAAGGGCAAGGAGAAAAGGCATGTCAGTCTCTTCTGTGGGAAAAAGATGGTATTGTGGAAAACAAGATGTTTTGTGGACAAAGCATCCAACCTCTTTTTCCAGATTCCCTGATTACTTGGCACTCCAGATATAAAGTAAACCATCTGAAGAGTTTTAGTCTCCTGTCTTGCATCCCCATCATTCCCTGTGTCTCCCAGAGCAGAGGAAGAGGCAATCAGCTCTGGGACCATAAGCCATCCAGGCTGATGACTCAGATGAACAGCATGACAGACACAGAGCCCTGGTGGCTCAGTGGTTAGAGTGCAGTACTTCTGCTGACTGCCGACTGCCAGCAGTTTGGCAGTTCGAGTCTCACCGGCTCAAGGTTGACTCAGCCTTCCATCCTTCCGAGGTGGGTAAAATGGGGACCCAGATTGTTGGGGGCCAGAGGCTGACTCTGTAAACCGCTTAGAGAGGGCTGTAAAGCACCGGGTGAAGCGGTATATAAGTCTATTGCTATTACATAAAAGGACACATGCAGAACAGAACATTCCTAAAGGCATTGAGAGACTCCATCAGCGATATGCTTATTAAGTACAGTAAACTGCCACCTATCAACCACGGGTGACTTGAAGAAAGAGAACCTTTATGAACAACTGACAAGATCAGAGATTCCACCGTGACAATTACAAACATCAGGGAAAGGGGGTCTTCCATCGCATCCCCTCTTTCTAAGGCCAGGGCTAGTTCTTCCCATGGGCAGAGGGAAAAGTAGCACACATCTGAAGTCTCAAACCCAATTTACCAGAACCTAACAGCTATGCCCCAAAGAATAGGGGCCTTTATGATTTAATGATGGTGGATTCCCACTACATCCTGAAGCACCTTGTGTTGGCCTCATCCAGTGTGTTATACAAAACCTCAGGTGAAATTTGAACTGGAGCCCTGTCAGTGTGTGCCTCTTGAAGAAAGAGCAAATAATCCTACAACCATCAATAAAGATAAAGGAATGTCTGCAAGAAAATAGCCAAGCTGAGCACTGAAACCTCCCTAATCAGTGGCAACCCACACTATGACTTGGTTTTCATTTAACATGCATATGGAAACTAAGCAACAATAGTTGTTCAAAATAGCTAAACATTCTTTTTTAACATTAGACTAATGTGAAGCGAAGTACTAGCAAAAGGACTGTATTAATTTAAAACTACTAACCATAAGCCTCTTGGGGCATGTCCATTCTGACAATAAAATAAAATGACACAAAGAGCAAAGTGCAAAAATCAATTTCTGTACCATCAGCCATTTCAAGTGAATAAAGATTTTATCTTTTCAAGAATTCACATAATAAATCAAGATATAATTTGTTTATCTATGGGAGATGTCCCAAAGAAGGCAACAGATAAAACTATTCCTCTTTTTCTCCCAGTAAAAACTGCAAATTCCACCAACGGCCTCCCATCACTGGGGAAACAGAGCTGCCCATATGAAAAAATGAGTCACCTAGGACAGTGGTGGCGAACCTATGGCACGGGTGCCAGAGGCGGCACTCAGAGCCCTCTCTGTGGGCACGCGCGCCGTCGCCCCAGTCCTAGGCCTTCAGCTGGGTTTTATAAAACCTTTTCGCTTTAGGCCTCTGCTGCCATGTGCAAAAAAAAAAGGTTCAATCAATCAGTCAATTTCAACTTCTCGTGGGGAAAAAAAAAGGTCTTGCAAAGTTGGAATTGATTGATTGAACTTTTTAGTCCCACCCAGTCTGCCGTTACCACCGCAGCCACGCCCACCCAATGGACCAGGCCCACCCGGCACCCAACGATGCATAAGTGGGTTTTGGGTTGCAGTTTGGGCACTCGGTCTCTAAAAGGTTTGCCATCACTGACCTAGGAGGTAAAACTTTTCCTGAGGGTGGAGTTTCAGTAAAATAAAAACTTCCAAACAATAAACCAAGGGATTCCTCAAACAATTCTGGCTATCATGTGCCAATCCACGTGGCCAGAAAAGAGTGCAAAGTACCCAGATGGCCGAGGCGTGGCCTTCTGCCACCGATCTTCCAATCTACAGGGAAAGCCACCACTTTGGGGCACATGGATCCACCTAAATGGGGAAAAATTTGGGACAGGTTGCAAAACTTCCCCCTCCCCCCCTTATAGACACTCCCCAATTCCATGTTTTTCTGACATTCTGAAGCAGTTTTTCATCACCATAAGAGTTTATAATTTGGTACAAATCCCCAAACTTTGGAATAGATTAAAAGAACAATAGTTTCCATAGCATAGAATTTACAAGGTTACTTCTGGCTATAAATGATGGAAAACTATTCAGTAAGTTCTACTGATTGCACACAACCCACCATCCAATTCTCTGATTCTGTTACAACTACTTGTGTTTTAACAACCCAAAAGTACGTTGTTTTTCTGTTCTTTCCCTCCTGAAGAGGTGCAAGGTAATAGGAAAAAAATGAAGGGCTCTGGAAAACTCATCCCAGCAGTCTCCCTTTAAATGTTATACAAGCTCAATAATGACATGAGTAATGCAGGAATTATGGAGTCACTTCCTACCTTCCCAGGGCACCTCCTGGGCACCACTACCTTTCATTATCCAGGTCTCTGCTTCAAAGCAAAGCAAGATGTTGGCTTTCTTCAGTCATCAGGTGGAGTCCAGATGCTTAGGCTGCTGCTCTTGGATCTAAGCTACAGTGTTAATCCTCCGACTCTCCTAAAGTGCAGTCAGTCCATGCTTTGAAACGTGTCTGAGAACTCAGGAGCTGCCGAGAAGCTCGTCAAAAGTGCCTCAAGGAGACACTCAGAAAGCTTTTGCAGAAGATGGCTCCTCTGCGTCACAGCTCTTAGGCTTCCTCCTCGACCAGGCGCTCTCTCTGCCCTTTGGATTTCAGCTGCCATGCCGAAGGAAGAGTGGCCTCGCTGGCTGGAAACCAGAGCTGAAGGGTACCAGGAGAAGCCCACCTAGTGAGTCCTGGAGCCAGGGGACCAGGGACACCCCTGCTGCTGGAGAAGGACTCGCTTTGCCCTCCAACCTGCCAGACCCCTGAGCAGAGATGTGCAGAGCCACAAGGGAGGCTTCTGTAGCAGGTCACAAAGGAAGCTTTGGAAGACAGCAAACACCTGGTGGGCTACTGCAAATGTTTCTCAGGTCTTGGCAATTGGGTTTACTTATAGGTTGTTATCCTGCTTTTACTTTTTAATTTAAGGTAGCATACATATCTTAATGCCTTCTGCTTTCTCCACAACAACAATCCTGTGAGATAGGTTGGGGAGAGGGGGAGAGAGAAAGGGGGAGAAGAAGAGGGAGAGAACGCCTGCCCCAAAGTCACCCATCCGGCTTTCATCCCTAAGGGAGGACTACAATTTGCCATCTTCTGGTTTCTTTTAACTGCTACACCAAATTGGTTCTCAATTACTTCGGCAAGAAAAACTTCTGAATCCCACACACACCAAGAAAAGGCTTACTTTTTCCAAGAGTGATACACACTGCTGCAATTCTGCTGACAATTTTTACTGCTGTATATAAATCAAGTAAGAGATAAAGCATAAAGATCAAGCAGCCTCCAAATAACGAGGGGTCTGGCAGGCACAAAGCCTGTGTTATTTTGCTCCTCAAGGAAACTTTCAGAGGCTGCTGCATCCTGGATTCCAGGAGCTTCTCTTTTGCAAGACAACCTTAAATCCCGCGGGCAGCACTGCTGTGCCCACCTCATGCCCCCCCCTCCGTGGCTCTCCTCCATCCGGGGCTTCCTTCCACCTTGGGAGTCGGCCAACCAGACCACTTCCGTCCGCCACCCTGCTTAGGAGCCGAGTTTTGCACACTGCTCTCCTGGCAATTAGGATTTTCATCATCTCTGACATTTGTGACTAGGGGTTATGGGAGTTGTAGTCCAAAACAACCGTAGGGAATTGGGTGATTTACTCCCAGTTTCGTTCTCTTCCTTCCACAACCTGATAGTGGGGAAGGCAAGTAATTACAAAGACTGTGATTCTAAAAAGACATTCAGCCAGCCAGCCAGCCGCCTTTATTAGGATCACTCATTCACTCTCCAACTCAGCAGAACTGTTTTTTAAAAAGCCAAAGTGGTGATTTTCTTCTTAGTGGAACTTTTTGCACACTTCCATGGGATAAGCATAGATGTCCTCATGAATAAGGCTCCCGTAGCACTGGAACCGGCATAAGTCCTCCTGCTTTCCTGTGATTCAGGCAGCGGGCTGTTCAAAAACCAAAACTCCCTTCCACCAACCGGTGTAGCACACAACTTCAGTACCAAACTAGGCTAACAAAGCACACCTTCTCTTCCAAAGTTCACCACAGCTTAGGAAAGGCCCTCTCTTTCACCTGTTTTCCCCAGGCAGGCCTGGAAAAGGGAGCGCCAGCATCTCTCCTAACATCTTCAACAATGTCTGTGCTGGCTGGACTTCTCCAAGATATAGTTTAGTATAATCTGGGCAGGAATAGCAGGTGTTACTTGATAACCAAAGCAGGGCCATAGGCAAATGGATTTATTCGTAGGTCTGCACTTCAGTATCGATACATGACTCCACCCACTTAGTTGCTAAATTTCTGCTCTTCAAGAACTTCAATCAATTAGTATCATAATCCAAAGACTATCCTCCGAATGTTTAGAATAAATATTAGACAGGACTTTCCAGAGAATTACAGGTTAGAAACCAAACTTCAGACCTAGAGTTCAGCAAAGTAAGTTGAAGCCTTTAATTCTCTCCTACGGCAATCTAAAAGCCTCACATCCCCTCCTGAGAACTGGGTTACTTAGTTCTGGTGGAGAAGAGAAAGAAAGTTCCTACCTGCTTTTTAAAGAGGCTGAAAGTGGAAAAACCTTCAACAGTGCACTGGCTGCATGGGAGCTTTGCTGCCTTGGGTCAAA